ATTTCCTGAAATAGAAGCATTATAAGTAAAATCTTCTAAGAATTGTTCTATATATTGCCAATTTTTAATAGTCATTTGTTCTAATGCTTTTACTGCTTCATACTGTATCTTAATCTGTCCTGAATTAGGATCTTGTCCAGTGCATAACATATGTATTTTATTAACAAAATTGAATGGATTTGTTCCTAATGATAAAATAGTATTTATCTCTTGCGGATATTCTTCTTTAAATCTTTCCCATATAGCTTTTACAGATTCTCCTAAAAATGTTTCTAAATATCTTAACATTTCTTCTGGATTATGATCAAAATCTTTTCCTATATAATCATTTACTACAATATTTTTCCAAATGTCTATTACTTTATCCCATATTTGAGGACTATGTGCTGTTAAATTTAAAATTTTTCCTGATTCTATTGGTTGTAATTGTATAGGTTTTTCTACTGGATATCTTTTCCCCTTGGGTTTAAATTTATTTTCTCTGGTTTCATCTTAACTTCTATAAGCTTGTCTTGGCAAATTTCCTGATCTATAAACTCTAGGTTCTGTATAATTTTTTCCTGATGTACCTGGTATATTACTATCTTGTCCTTCCATAAAATTTAAATCTAATATTTTAAAATCTATTTCTCCTTCACTTTCTTCAAATTCTTGTTCAGATTCTTCTTCATATTTTTCTTGTCCAACGAAATTATTGGTTATTTCTATATTATCATCTATGGCCATCATATATTCTTTTTCATATTCTTCTTCTGTTATATCTCTTACTCTAATATTATTATTATTATCTTGATAAATTACTTGTTCTACTTCAATTTTTCTTTCTCTTACTAATTGTTCTTCTAATTCTTCTTCTGTTAATTTATCATATCTTTTATTATTTGTTCATCTTCCATTTGTTTTTCTAACATTCTATCTTTTTCTAATAATATTTTTTGTTTTTGTTCTTCAATTTTATGTTTATATTTATTTGTATAATATTCATATGAAATTTCCATCCTATACATTAATTCATTACTAATTTCTGTTTCTGTATCTTCTTCTCTGTTAACCCCTTGTCTATAATCTAAGAATCTTACATAGGTTTCTCCTCTTCCATCATTATAAAATACTCCATTTTCTAGAATTAATATATCATTATTTTCTTTATCTTCAAAGAATTTACTAGTGTTCCATTCTAATCCTGCTAATTCTTGGGAAGATATTTCTTTAGGTTTTATCATTTTAATATTTTTACTTGATATATATTCAATTACATCATTTATTTTGATCTTATAATTAATACTTATATTTTGCATAGTTTTTCCTATAAATCCTATCGTAATTACTAAATTACTGCCACTTATAAATTCTTCAAATCCTTTAGTTTGTATTCCTATTTTAATACTTTTACAAAAATCTTCTACAGGTAATGTCATATTAGGAGTGCAGTAAAAAAGTCCTACATCACTATTTAAATCTACTTCAGTTAAGGATATTAATGATCTTTGTACATCTTTACCCCATCTTTTATCAAAAAGAGTTACTAAAACTTTACATCCAGTTCTACTTCTTACTAATCCTTTTACTCCTATAATAAATAATCCTGTATGTATATAATTTTTATGAGATTTCTTTAATTGTTCTTTGACTTTTTTACTCATGTAGTCTAAAACTACTACTTGGTCTCCTACACATGACACTTGTTCTTCTGAATAATTTCTAAATAGTCCTGTGTTCATAGTGAATCTTCCTACTTCATATAATCCTTTAGGTTCTAATATTTTTAGAGCAGATTCTCTAAATTGTTCTATATTTTTATCTATATCTATTTCTTCTTCTAATTTTATTTTATCTTTATTTTTAATATTGAATATCTCAAGAGGTGATCTAAAACTAGTACTTTTTCTAAGCTGGTCTATAATTGTTCTACTAGTTCCAGGAAAAGATGTATTATTCATTTTTATAAACTAAAAAACTACAACATTGTTTTTGTTTCTTAGGTCTTGGCTGTATAGGTTTTAATTTTTTATCAAATTCTTCTACAAGATTATCTATATCTATTTCTTGTCTTAAATGACCTTCTAAATTTGTTATTCTTTGGTGTAATGTAACTAATAGTTGTATGATTAAATTATTTTGTGCTATTATGGTTTTATCTCCTTTAGATGTTATATCTAAAGTTTTAAAGAAACCTTTATTATAATCTTCCTCTGTATATGCTTTTATTTTTTCTAATTCTTCTCCAAAATTAAAGTTTTTTTGACATAAACTAATAATTCTTGTATTAATTGTTCTTTTTTTATAATTTTTTCTTCTAAAATCTTTTCTTTATTATTTATTTTTTCTATAAACTGATATATATCTTTTTCTATTGGTTTTGGTTTTCTTTGTTCTAAACTTAATATTAATTGTTGAATATCTGTCTTTGTTGGTAAACTTTCTATATCTATCTTATTTATTCTTCTGAGTATTATTTCTTCTGTAGTTTTAATATAATCTAAATTATTATTTATTTCTTTTAATAATTTATCTATTCTGATTCTGATTCACTTTCAAATAACAATGTGTATTCAGACCTAAAATTATTTTCTTCTTCAAACCACTCTCCAAAATTAAAATATTTGTATCCTGCTAAATCAACTTCTTCTAAATATGGTCTTAATATTTGTCTTAGTTCTGTTTGTTTCTTATGATCAATTATTATAATATCTATTACTGTTTTTAGAAATTTAATATAACTATATTTTAAATAATGATGATTATCACTGTCTAAAAAAGTCCACAATTCTTTGTAATATTGTCCTTCTGTATAATTTTTAAATACAAAGAATGATTCTTTTTTAAATCTTTCAAAAGCTATATCTAATATATGCATAAAATTTTAGTCTGAATAATAATAATCTGAATAGTAATAACTTGTAGAAGGTAAACTATGTTCGTCAAACAATACAAATCCTTCTTCTTCGTAAATATTCTGAAAGTAATAATACTCTTCTTCGTTAAATTCTAATTCTTTAAAATTCTTTTTCAAAACAGTCTTTATTAAATGATCTTTAGGATGATTAGTATCTATGCAATCAACTATAGAACACAAATATTTATAATATCTATATTTTAATGGATTTTCTAAAGTGTTATCTTGTAAAAAGAAAGTTTCTAATTCCCACTCTGATTTTTGTTGTGTTTTTCCGTAGAAATGATTTATAATAAAGTTTTGGAATTTGTTCCAGAAAAATTCTAAACTGATTTGATTTGAAATTTTTATAATGACTTTTATCCTACTCAGTACTCTCCTTTCCACATCCTAAGATTGTTTCCCATGTCTCTCATGTGTAATTTAACATGATCATGTCATGTGGGAGGATTTTAACCATTAATAATTAAATCAATAGTGATGATTGTATAACTTCCGATCCTTATATTTTTTCTCTCCTCCCTTATCACCATTAACTCACCCATGTATGATTATGATTGCCCCACATGACATAGTCATGTTAATTAGCACATGAGAAATTCACTCCTAAATTTTTATTGATTCGGACCACTTAAAATTTGATACTACTGCAGCACCAAAACTCTTCTCTGAGAAGAGAGCCTTTATACTCTTGGGTTTCGAACATGTTTTTTCATAAAGAGCCTTTATTTCATCATCCTATTCTATGATTTGTTTCCAGCTGTATTTTGTGAAATACATCTCTATTGGTTTGTAAGAATGTATGCAATGGGCCTTTCAATTCCTTTTCTGTAAAGTGCCTTCAATTTCAAACATGGCTAATTCCTGAGTAAGTTGTGTTTGTTTTCTAGGGCTAGATGAAAATGGGGGCAATTTCAAAGGAAAAGAAGTCCAATATTGATCGTAGACCACTAATTAGCTATACTTCTAATAAAAGTTAGATTCGTAAAATTAACTCACATTCTCAATAATTATTGACGATCAATCAAATATAGCAGAAAATTTGAATCAATATTTTTGGAAAATTCACTTTCCTAACATATTCCTAGGAATCTCTCCACTCACTATTGGTTGAAATTGTGAATTAAAGATATTGCAGAAAAATAGATAAAATACACAAAAAAAAAAAACAATTGTATTCATAATACCCTACCTTTAGAGGCTGAAACTAATAAAAAAAGCAGAAGATGCTGAGAGCTGAGCAGCATGGGTGAGAATATGTATTCGATCTTTTTCAGTAGTACTCGAATCTATTTACTTATTTTTAATGGATATTTAAATGTTCATTTTCAAAATTTCAATGAAAAAAAAATAGTTCATTCTATTCAATATCTTTATGGGTTAATTTAAGGGTAAAGAAGAAGAAAAAATTCTTTTGTTATTTTTTTAATAATGAATAATGATGAAAGGATTACTTTGTTTCGCAATAACAAATATTCACAGCAAATTCATCGAAATGTTAAAAATATAAGACATCTTTTATGGATATTTTCGATTTTAGTACTAAAAACACTGCTTGTTTCTATCCTCATGAATTGGATAATACTATGCTATTTTCTATGCTTATATTAGTACTATTTACTTTGTTCATTGGGATCATGGGAATTTCTTTTGGTAAGAAGGAATTAACAATTTGGATTTTTTTTCTAAATTGTTAACTCCTATAGATCTTTCACACCAAAATTCAAATGATTCTTTCTATTGTTATGCATTTTTGAAAAAATGCAACTTTATTGCTTTTTTAGAATTATATATAGCCTTTTTTTAAATTGTTATTCCTGTATCCGTCTTGAATTAGATTAGTTGTAAATCAATAAATCGATGAAATATTTACAAAAAATTAAATAAATAAAAAAGCAAAAGAGAAAAACCGTTTTCTGTATATTCATTTATTTATGAATTTTATGTTTATTATTTTACATGACATAACTTCAATTTCCTACGCACACATTAAAATGGTGAGATCCATATATTTTCGTTGTCTTTCATCTTCTACTTTCTCTCTCCTCATTTAGTGCGTGTGTTGGAAATTAATGTTATGTTATAACATTAATAAAACCATTTATTTATTAGGAGCGAGTGAAGCAAAGTGGGTTGGGTTGCAGCAATGGCTACAATTTCACCAACACTAGCAAGACCCTTATTCTCCTACACTCCAAGATTTCTCTCACCATCAAACACCCCATCTTGTGTTCACAAACACAACAACACCTCCCTGTTGTTGGTATTGTCTTTCAGTTCGAGGAAAGGGAACAACACTCCTCCATCACCGGAAACACAGTGTCCTGTTCCAGAAGAACAGCAACCCATAAAGGAGTACCAGTCACTCTCAACCTCATTCCCCTTTTCATGGGCCTCCCGCGACATCGTCGAATACATCTCACGCCTCTTCGTCACCGGTGCCTCCTTCGCCCTCTTCGTCGGTCTCCCGGTCGCCTGGTTCGGCTCCGTCACCGCCCAATCGGAACTGTTGAAGCGAATTATGTGTGCTGCTTCGAGTGGCATCTTCGCCGTCACCCTCGCCGTTCTCAGAATGTATCTGGGTTGGGCTTATGTTGGCAATCGCTTGCTCAGTGCCACCGTTGAATGTATCTTTCTTTTTCTCATTTTATTTACATCTATATATTAATCTTTACGGCGAAGAATACTACCATTTTAGCTTTATTACTCTTATTACTGGTTCGATGAATTTGAAATCAATGATAATTAATTTTTATTTTATTTTATAACCATTGATTTCAAACGGATACTAATAGAGTAGTAAAAATAGTTAGGCTAAAATAATAGTAAATATAACCTTTCTTATCTATATATTTATTAAATTTGTATTTAGTGAGTGATAAACAACCATTTAATTTAACAGCTCAATATTTCTTATATTATATCTCTCTACTATATTCACTCACGCAAAAGTGCCCTTTTGGACTTATAACATGAATATTGCTTAGTTTTATCTTATGCTAGTTAATTTCATTAGAAAGTGAAACCATCGTCACATGACTATTTTTTTTTGGATAACAAGGAAAGATTACAAAACAAAACACGTCAAACTCAGATATGGGGTAAGCTACCCCCATTTGGTCCCTCAAAAGAAGTTGGTTGCACTCCATGGGAGGCCTGTCCAGAATCTCCAACTCCCAACTGAACGTTGGAAGAGGATGCCAGCCAATCAGCTACTGCATTACCCTCTCTATATGTATGAGATAATTCGACCCTCCAGTCTTTCCTAATCAAGGATCTAATCCTCTTTACCAATGAGCAGAAGGGGTGGCTATCAGCGCAACCATCCTGCGAAAGCTGTAAGGCCGTATTAGAATCTCTTTCAATGCAGACACTTCTGAAGCTTCTATCCTAAGCCAGAGTGAGACCATGATAGATACCTTTCAATTCCGCTATTAGCGCATTACCCTGACCAGTGTAGATCCTCAAACTCACGATCCAGTTACCTCCATCACCTCGGATTACTCCTCTGCAGGAAGTGATGCTTCCGTCATGGGAGCTAGAGCCATCCGTGTTAACTTTCATCCACCCAAACTTGGGATGTTTCCAGCGAATGAAAGCTTCTGATCTTTTCCTCGGAATAATGTTAGCAACAACATGCATCTTGTCAACAATGTTAATACTATCCACAAGGCTTCTAATACGGATTAAGGTACAAGGGGTATTAGGAGCTTTCCCGTTGAAAATGAAGTCATTTCTATCGAGGCAAATGCACCAACAAGTAACTCCAAATATGACCCGCTTGTGATCCTCCAAGTTACCGGAATCCTTTTTCAGGTTTACCTCTAACCACCTCTCCATAGGGAGATTAAAGAAGGAAACTAGGATATCCGCTCCTAAAATAGACCTCCACACTTTGTGGGCCCAGACTCAATCCTGATCAAATGCAGGCTACTTTCCACAGGTGAGTTGCATCTAGGGCAGTTAGCAATATCACTCATGCCTCTACTCATTCTCTGCTCATTAGTGAGGATCTTGTTATGGAGCAGAAGCCAGAGGAAAACTCGAATTTTCTGCGGCCCATTCCACTGCCAAGGGAGATCCCAAACATTAAGGCTTGGGCTAGGGCACAACTCAACATTATTATAAGCACTCCCAACTGAGAAGTCCCCATTATTCGACCCTTCCCATATTATCCTGTCCTCGCCATCGTACTGAGATGGAGGAGATTGGCCAGCTATGAGGTTAACTATCTGGGCTGGGAGGAGATTCCAAAAGAGGTTCCAAATCCAGCATCCACGGTGATCAACAAACCTACTCACACACCAGCTAAGTCTTTCCTCAGGAATCTGATCAATCGCCAATGACACCAGGTTTTCCATATTGGGCAGCCATTTGTCGCACCAGAAATTGGTGCTATTACCTTTTCCAACCAAGATTCTCGAGTTAGCAACCACTTCAGGCCAGGATTTTATAACTCCCTTCCAAAGGTTGGATTTGGTAGCATGTATGTTAAGATCAGGTATAAGGTCATCACCTACACCATACTTGTTACGCACCACTTTAACCTAAAGGGAGTCACGTTTGGTAAGCACCCCATGGCCAATCTTCATAATCATGGCTTTATTCATAAGCCTAGCTTGTCTCAGACCAACTCCACCACTAGCTTTAGGAGAGCACAAAGTGCTCCAATTCACCAGGTGCGTTTTCCTTATCTCCGGAGAAGATACCCATATGAAGCTTCTCGTGCATCTGTCAAACTCATCACAAAGACTCAGAGGGAAGGAAACCGATTGCATAGTATACGTAGGGAGGGCCGAGATAACAAACTTGGCCAAGGTTATCCTACCTGCTAGAGATAACGTTTGGTTGCTCCAGCTGTTCAGACTGCTCTGAACTCTCTCCAAAACATGAGATAGAGAATCTCTAGACACTCGCTTGTGATGTAACAAGATCCCTAGGTATTTACCTAGGTCACCAGTAAGGTTGATACTCAGACTTTCGTTGATTTCCTTAGCCCTAAGAAAACATATATTCTTCGAAAAGAAAACTTTGGACTTTTCCCTATTGATGCTCTGACTAGACGCTTGACAGAAAGTTCTAAGAATCTGATTGATCACATGCGCTTGATCTAACGAAGCTTCAGCAAAGAGTAAAATATCATCGGCAAAGAGAAGATGGGTTAGAGGAGGCCCATTTTTTTCAAAATAACTGGCTTCCAGGCATTAACTTGATATGCAACCTGGATCATGTGAGCTAGTCTCTCCACTCACAGCACGAAGAGATATGGAGACAATGGGTCACCTTGCCTCAGCCCTCTACCTGGCTTAAACTCCTTAGTCTTCTTACCATTCCATAGCAGGTTCATGGAGGATGAGCTAACACACAGATCAATCAGCTTCATGATATTCTCATGCAGATTGATTTCCACAAGGGTGTCATGCACAAACCTCCAATCATCGTCACATGACTATGATATACACTGAACAATCACGTAGATAACAAGAAAACTTTCAGTACAACCGTTGTACCTACATTCTTACCATGAAAAAAAAATTCTCTTTTTAATAAAAGAGAGTTTTTAGTAGAAAAGGAGTATCGAATTCGGTACTCCCATAGTATTAAAAAAAATTCCATTTGAAAATTTTTCAATAGATAATCATTTCATCTAAAAATTTAAGTTGTTAAAGTGAAGTTCATAATGAGTTTATATCATATTTGTCATTTAGTTTTTTTTTTTTTTTTTTTTTTATAAGCTGTCATATAAATTTAGGTTTAACTTGTATTTATAAATAAACTTAGGAAGTGACTTCCAAGTATATTTTGAAGTTATTAATATTTTGACAAATTGCATAATCACTATTCTCTTCATATTGCAGATGAGGAGACAGGGTGGTATGATGGTCGGGTAGGTTTTATTTTTTTCTACCGATTGTTTTACCTCACTAGCGTAAAATCCAGGTGCTGTGTTATTTGTTGTGTTTGCTTGCCTACATCATATAATATAAATTGCTTGCTTGAAGGTTCCGGTGTCTACTTTGTGTTTTTCTATGTTATTTTGGTTCTGGATTGTTCACCTGGAGGTTCTAGTTTCTCCAAGTCTGAATGAAGAAATTTCAATCAATTTATGTTAAAAATACTGTTGTATAATGGTGTAGTCCACCGCAGGTGTATAGAAAATGAAGTCAAAATATCTTAGCAGAATGCTATTTAGTAGATGATGTGCAATGAAGGTATGAGCACATGATGCTGCTTGAAAAGTACATGGATGAGTAAGTTGATGGCATTGATGGTGCTTGCCGTGTCCATTTGATAAGATCTTTTGTGGTGTTCTGTCTTGTGCGCCTTCATATGCCTGGAAAAAATGCAAACATGAAAGGATTCCTGGGAACTCATTAGAAAGTAACCTCATTCTCCTCCACTTGAGTGGCTTATTCAACATTTTTGGTAGATCCAAAACTTAACTTTTGGCCGAAACTATATATAATGTAAGGCCAGATGCCCTTGTCTTGTGAGTTAGGTACAAATACCTTCGCATGAGTTTTTTTATTTTTATGTTGGGTGGCATGCACAAATGCGTTTTACTATTGGAATATTTGAGTCAGAGAGAAAAAGTTTTTAGTCTAGAATAAGTTTGCTTTTGCTATTAAGCCTAAATGTTTTTCTCAACAGATATGGGTGAAGACTGCTGAAGTTTTGGCACGTGACAGGCTCTTGGGATCATTTTCTGTAAGCATTCTGTTAAACCACTGCTACTTTGACTTGTAACTTTACTGTTGTTGCTGGAGACTCCTGTTAACCATGAGCTATAGCGTTATTTATTCTTACTTTCTATTGGCCCTACTTTAATTGTTTTTAAACATTTAAGATTATGTTGGTAGTGGAGCTAGAATCACTATTGTGACTGAAACAGCAATGTCTCATAGTCATTGCCTTATCAATGTTCAGGAATTATTTCTAACTTAAAACTGCAGAAAAATATGTTTTTGATAGCTGGGGCTTAATTTATCCTGTGTTGATATATGCGGTAATTTGATTGTGGAATTTGAACTAGTGATTTTTTGTTTGAATGTTACTCTTCCAGTAATTTATGTTTATCTTTGTGAATCCTTGGATGAAAATTATACCGTAGACAATGACAACCACAAATTGAAACTTGCAGTTATGTTATTTGTCTTTTACTTCTGTATGTGGGCAATTATTGTTTTACTTACCATATGGTTCTATTTCACAACACAATTGTTGCCATCTATCTCATTAATAATGGTTAAAGTTTTACAGTAACAACTGCCTAACCTTATCAACAACAAAAAATGGATAATGTTTGCTACATAATAATTGACTTACTTAGCATCTTTTGTTATGTTTAAGGTCAAGCCTGTACTGAGTAGATTGAAAATTACTCTAGTCACTCTGGCAACATCATTACTTGTATGTGCTGTTGTCCTCATTAACATTGAGGGGGACCAAAACGACCTTTATCTAACATCAAAAGAAGGTGGAGTTCGAGTTGTCCCTGGAGTTTACAATGATGATTCTGCAAGATCATTTGAACCAGACGCCTTTTGTGGTGAACCTGATCTTCAATAGTACATAGCCACTTATACGAAAGAATTCTTAATCCTGGGCCTTCCATGCATTGTATTAATTAGGAGGGAAGGGGTGCTTCATATATTCAGCATCGAATTCTATACTTCCTGTACATATCTTATAGTGTATTGTACAAACCATATATTTAGTAGCATTTCAAATTAATGTTAAGTTGAAAATAAAATGAACATATGTTCATTATCAGTTTGTTACTCTTTCTCTCTCTCCATTATGGTGTGTGTTTTGGACTCAACACTCATCCAAAACACACACCATAATCATTGAGTCTTCATAGGATTTCCTAACTTAAGTGGAATACCCTTCCAATGACTAATTTTTCCCTTCCTTTCAGCATAGTGAAAACGAGTTAGGACAGCTTAAGGTAGATTTTTTCCTTTTAAGCCTATATAGACACTTTTGGATGGATTTTTATTTGTGAAGCTGTTTGTGTTTTTTTTTTTTTTCCTTCCAAAATAAAAAGTATTTTTTAAATCGTGTGTGTTTGAAGCCATCGTTTGATAAAAGAAGTTAAAAGTATGTTTTTTGGGAATCTAAGTTAAAAGAAGTTGAAAAAAACCAAAATATTATTTTTTTAGTTAAAAATATTTTTAAAATATTAATTCAAACTCTAAATAATTGGGGGTTTTAAAAAATAATGCATAAATTTTTTTTTTTCAAACCCATTCAAACAAATCCAAAAACATTCAAAATAAAAGAGAAACAAAGGCGCCCCTAAAGAAAAAAATCCACTTTGATACAATCTCAGAGAAAAATTATGAATTTCATTCATAATTGAATAACACATTAATAGGTTAGCTATATGCACGAAAACCTTCGGAGAATGGGAAAGAAATTAACGTTAGATCCCACGGTATAATTTTCATCAAAGTAAAATTTATAAGGGTTCGTTTTTTCTACAGTCAATGTAGATAATTTATCTGCATTGAGCCTAAAATGACATCTTTTTGAGACGAAAATCAAAATATTTTTGTAATTATAATTTATTTCAGAGTTATAATAGTCTTTTTCATTATAATTTTTTAATTTTTCAACGCAAAACAACGTCGTTTTGATTTTAGAAACATTAAAGCCAATTTATAATCCGAAAATATATAATTATAATCGATTACTGCAAAATTTTATTATTACGGTTTTCCTCATAGTGGAATACTATTACTTCACCAAAGATTTTTTTGTATTTTTTTCAGCGGGTGACAATGCATGTGAATGTTTCCCTGCTTGGTAACTTAGAGTGAAATCTAATTCATAATAATGATAAGTTTTGGGTTAAGATTCTAAAACATAAATATTTGAAGGAATCATCTATTCCTTCAAATAATATGTGGATGTCCATTTTAAAAGCAATTGCTTCCTTAAAAGGGATTATACGTGGTGTGATGAGGAATCTCTATATCAATTAGTGGATATTGTGCACGTCACCGACATTGACCTTCAAGTATGGAATGTATAGTAAATTACCGGAGTGGATTCTCTCATGTGCTAAATGACATAACAATGTCACGTGGGACAATCATAATCATACATGGGTGATAAGGGAGGAAAGAGAAAAAATATAAGAATAGAAAGTTACACAATTATCATCGTTGATTTAATTATTAATGATTAAAATTCTCTCACATGACATGATCATAATTACACATGAGAGGATCTATTTCCAGTAAATTTCGGTTGTCTAAATTTTAACCCATTTCAATAGAAGTGAGGCAAAAAAAAAAAGTTTATATTTAATGCATGTTTAGAAACGTCTAATTATGAAAAATAATTTTTTTTTGTTTCAAGTTCTTTAAAAAATCATTAACTTTTAAATTAAATTATTTTAAATAATTTTAAAAAAAGAATTATTTCAAAATATATAAGACTTTAACGTTTCTACAATAAATGTAAATAAAATATTTACATTCACTTCTAAAATAATGTTGTTTTGGATTGAAAAATTAAAAAATTATAATGAAAAAAACTATTATAATCCTGAAATAAATTTAATTATAAAAATAACTTAATTTCTGTCCTAAAATAATTTTGAGTTCAACATAATAACTAAGGGATTATATTTTCTTATGCAACATGAGATAAGATATCTCATGTTACATTCACAAACTTAGGTGGGTTCCATTGCATAGAAAAAAGATAAAAAGAATTTGAAATGGGTCCCATGTCTTTTTGAATGTGTAGAAGAGACTTATTATTTTCTATCACATGAGATTAATATTTTCCAATAACTTATCCAACGTAGAAAAATCGAACCCAATAAACAAATAAACACAGGTTCTGCGATTGCATGAGTGAAGAAAAGTAAGCATTGGCATTGGTTAGATGCACCACCCAACACAGTTCCACCCGTTTGACATAGACATAGCCAGCAATTACCATTTTTGCAGTGCGTGTCGTGCTCAGAACAGTGCAGACATCAACGTAATCTTAAAAGCAATTAAAAGGGGTTCCCATATATTATTGCAACTTGCATTACAAAAAAACACATGAAAGAAAAATGCAAACTATAGATAGAGACATAGTAGGGGCCCACCATGGAAGAGTAAAATGAAAAAATTAACAGAGGTTCATGCACCTTTCCCATTTCCCGTTTCCCGTTTCTTGCTTCTGTATCAATTCAAAACAACCATAGGTTTTCCCAACTGAAATAATAATAATTAAATGAATATAAAAAAAAATCTTTGATATTAAATTATAATTCTTAAAAGAGAAGAGATTGTGGACCTTGTGAATGAAATTTTTTATTTTTATTTTTATTTTAAGCGGTTTGGTCCCTCAGAATAAATCATACAAGTCTTGAGCATTTCTGGTTCTCAGCAATGACCTTCAACAGCTTCTCTTCTGCATCTTGGTCACCTCTTTCAATCTTAAAATCTTCTTCAAAGTTCATTGGAGCTTTCTTATATGATGTACTTCTATCATATTTTTCTTAGGTAAGGACTGAGGACAGTTCAAACAATTATTTCTTTGGTTTTTCTGACATGTTATTGAAATTGAAGTGTTATATATGCTTTTTGATATCTCCAATGTGATGAGACTTCTGGGTATTCATCTGCTTTTCTTTGCAAATGCAAATGTAATGGGGACATTAGAATACCCCTTTTTCAAGTACTAATTTTTCTTCTGTTGCCTATTCTTCTTGTATTTGTTTTAGGGACTGAAGTGAATTGCTTCCATGGTTAAAGGATTTAACTTTTTTATTATTTTGAAAGACTTGTTGCCATGGAGCCAACTTTGACTTATTGGCTAAAAGCTTATTTTTTGTGTGCTTCATTGCATATCTCTCTCTTTGATCTTCTCTATTAGTGTTGTAATTGGCTTTCTGCTTGAATCTGTGATTTGACATTGGACACAGTTGATCTTCTCTATTATGTTTTATGTAATTGGCTTCATGCTAGGTGGGAAGGGGACATCCAGTCTTATCAAAATTAATCTGTGAATGGGGTAGTTCAATATGAACCTTACGTGATGTCAATGCCACTATGCATGAATGTTCTTATGTGGCTAATTAATTTCCAGAATTAAGTAGAATTAGCACAAATAATTTTTTGGATTGATGATCTATTTAAGTATTTCATCTCATTTAGACACATAGGTTATTCGTAATAATTTCATCGAGTAAAGCTCATTTTGAGTCCCTAACAAAAAACACGATCCTCACTTTAGTCCCTTACAAAAATAATTAGTCGTTTGGTCCCTATGAAATTCAAAGTTGACCTATTTTAGTCTTTTCGAGAGACTAATGTGGGTCTTTTTTGAATTTGTAAGGGACCACGATTTCAACTAAATGGGTCCACTTTGAATTTCTTAGGGACCCGAGACTAACTTTTTTTTGTAAAGGACTAAAGTGGGGAATGTGTTTTTTGTTAGGGACCCAAAAAGGAGTTTACTCTAATTTCATCTATGCTGTGTAGGACAATGATAGGTGTAAGAAAAAAGAACTGTTTTCCATCCTTTGAGATATTTTGGGGTAGATTTTTGTGCTATGGTTACTCATTGTCTGCTTAGCTTATTATTATAATGGGTCCGTCGCTTCTCATGTGACTGCTGATGAGAAAAGTTGCAGCAAATTTTTAACACTAGAATACACGTGCGGATTCTATCAAAAAAAAAAACCAGGATTCAGACGCGTATCCTGATAAAAGTAAGTGTTGCTACACTTTTTCCCTTCTGCAGTCACATAAGAAGTACTTTCCCCTATTATAATTGCCTCCTTACATAAAATAAGTTAAACTGCTTGACCAAATGTGGGAAGGGAAACAGTGGGCTAATCATGTAAAGCTTGCTACGTTATTGGAACAAAAATGATGTTGATCTTTAATATTGTAGGAATAAGTTTGAACTAGATGTAGGCCGGTGCATTGTGCAGGCATAGAAGCTAAACTTTTTTAAGATTGTGATACTGAATTTTACCAAAAAAACCAAATTGATTAATTGTTAGTGCATCTTATATGTGAATTATATTTAAACTTTCTTAATAAACTCAAATTATATGAAGCATGAGAATTGTTTAGCTTATTAATGCAAGATATCTGCCCCTATCGCCAATTTACTGTCTTAGTAAATCATTTGGAGACCTGTATTTTCAAGAGATCTTCTTCAGTTGGTCCTTGGACCATTATAAGAAGGTTACTGTCCTCAGCTACTTATTTGGGATTTGTTCCATGTGAGCTATGTTGCAAAAATGCTTCTTTATCTCTGACCCTGCTTCTTGCAGATTTGATTCATTGTAAATACAATTGGAAATGTTGTAGTATATTATAATGTTGCATTTAAATCTCATTCAAGACTGTAAATAGACAAATAAATAGATAAATTGGTTGATGAGGTGGATGCAGGGAGTTGAATTGATTAAAACAGCATCTACCACTGTGAGGTGTATGATGAGGTGGCAATGTGGCATTAATATTGTAGGAATAAGTTTTAAGAATCTATTTTTGATGAACTTTTGGTGTGAATAAAGTTTTACACTGTCATTCAATAATGCATTATCTCATCGTTTTAATGAGTTTGACAACTCGTTTGTTATTAAACTTATTAAATGATGTGGCAACACATCATTGGATGATTGTGTAAACTTTGTTTACAATGATAGTACATACAAACTAAATTCTAAGTTTAAATTGGCTAAGAATTATCTCAGAAGGTGATGTGTTAAAGCATCCCATTTCATTTAAAAATCTTATTAAGGCCATGCCTGAAACCATCTCTCCCCTATGGAATTATCAGTAAGACATAAATAAGGTATAGTAAACTTTTGTGAGCAGCGGACGACATTTTTCCTTTTGCTTTGGATGTTGGATGGTTGATGATATATATATGCTTAAATATGATAATATTATTATGCTTTGGTTGTTCATTCTAGACTTCTGGTATTGTCCTTGAGAAATTTCCTGATTATTGTGATTATCTAGAAAGGGAGGATGTTGGCATGTGAAAAGTTTACCTGTTTCAAAACTTTCTCACTCAGAAATTTTAATTTCTGCTGTGACATTTGATATCTTAAACATTTATACTTTGTGAGAACAGATTTGGTTGGTGTTTGTTCTCTGAGCTTGTATTTGATGTCATCTTATTTATATGCTTCAGGTCCTTAAACATATGTGCGATTCCCTGCATTATATATACCTTTGAGATTCTAGACCGTAGTTAGTCATACACCCAATTTTAGATTAGGTATTTGTGCCATAAAGTGTGTCATTGCTGAATTAAATTTATAAAATCGATGAAGAAATAACTAACTGTCTCACTTGATCTTATCATTGTATTGTGAGCAGAGTTGCGATGTCTGGAGGAGTAGTTTGATACGGTGATGCATCTCCAGAGAAACTTGAGCAAAGCTGCATGCTGTGCGGTAGACTTTTACTATGGAGTTAAAAGCAAGTTATGATATTGAGCATTCACATTCTGGGCAAATAATACAGCATGAGCTGTGGCCTTTAGATCCAATTGATCCAAAGAAGTCAAACTTTCCTTGTTGTTTGGTTTGGAATCCACTTCCTGTTGTCTCATGGTTGGCACCCTTCATTGGCCATGTTGGCCTTTGCAGGGAGGATGGAGTTGTTTTAGATTTTTCAGGATCATATCTTGTGAATGTTGATGATTTTGCATTTGGTCCAGTAGCAAGGTACTTGCAACTTGATCGTGCACAGGTACTGTTTATCAAATTCACTATCTCTATCTCTTGTTGCCCTCTTGTCCGTTCGGATTGTTCACATTCATGCAAGCATAGCATTCATAAACACATGCATGTTTTGCGATACAGAGTTATGCCAAATTCAACTTTATTTTTTGCTGGTGATGGGGTTTTGGGGGACTAAAGAACTTGTCTGGCTAATGTAGCTATGTGTGAAACTATTGAGGTCAAACACTGATGTGTTAGGAAAATACCTATATAACTGACTGCAAATATTGATAATTATATCCTCATTAGAAATGGGTTGCATTTGCAGCTAGAGGGCTCTGTGAAGTCAAAACCTACAAGTCATGTTCCATTTGAATCTAAGAGGTTTTACCTTGTGATAAATAAATTCTTTAGCTATTAATAAGAAATTTGAGAGGGCGAGTCTTGGGGCAGTGATGAGATTGCTCCTTATGACCGAAAGGTCAAGGATTCGGGAAACGGTCTCTTTGCAAAATATGCAAAGATAAAGTTGCGTATACTCAACTTTTACTCGTATCCTTGCAAGTCGGGGAGCCTTGTACACCGGAGGTTTTCCCCTTGAAATAAAAATTCCTTACCTGACTTTTCCTCTCCTATTTATCAAGATTGATTGAATCAGGAAATTTTGTTATTTCACCTTTCTTTCTCCCTTTTATAAGTTCTCATTCTTGTATTTGATATTGCCATTTCTAAATAGGTAGATATCATAAGATGCTATTTAAAGTCAGCACATGAAATTTGCAATTGGTTTTTCTACACCACAGTTAGGTTATTGGTGCATGATTCCTGATACTAAACCTTTATGGTACTTATGATTTTGTTTTTAACTCCAGCTGTAAGATAGCGGAGCACGCATGCTAAATTCGAATAAAGATGTATTTGTTATCCTAACAAGCTCAGATTATTGTGTATGTGATGATTCTACCTTGTTTTTGAAAAATAATTGGGTTGTAGTTATGTTGACATATGTATCCTTGGAATCCATTTGCAAAGCTCTCCCCTTTCCTTTACCCCTTAAAATTTTGGTTGGAGTCAATTTTTGTTGTTTGGAAGTGTTAACTCAAATTTGACATTCTGTGGAATTTGAGATGTGCCAGTGTTGCTTCCCTCCTAACCTATCTGCGCATACATGCAAGCATGGCTACCGGCATGCTGAGTATGGGACTTCAATCACATGGGATGGTGCCTTACAGTCAAGTTTGCGGCACTTTGAGACAAAAACTCACAACCTTTTCACGTGCAACTGCCACTCATTTGTTGCAAACTGTCTGAATCGGCTCTGTTATGGTGGGTCAATGAGTTGGAACATGGTAAATGTAGGAGCCTTGATACTATTTAAAGGGCATTGGGTTGACTTCAGGTCAATTGTAAGGTCTTTCTTGCCTTTTGTTGTGGTTGTTTGCATAGGTGTTCTCATGGTTGGGTGGCCCTTCTTACTTGGGCTACTATCCTTCTCTCTTCTCTTAATAGGGTGGTTTCTATTGGGTACTTACCTAGTTAGAAACCTATTAGAGTGCTAGGTGTTCTCTTTAATTGAAGGATGGTCATGTTTGTGTTTCCTCCTCACCAAATAATAGTTTCCAATGTCTATATTGTTATTTGAACAAGAACACAAGTCACTTATGGAAAGTTAATGAAATAGCTTCCAGTTCTCCCAACCCTGAAAGTGTCCTTGAACATTTCACTGCTCAATTGTATTTTATTATTCCCTACCAGTCAGCTGAAATCGTACCAAATAGCATTGTTATTTGTTACTTTACTTTTGGTCAATAATAAATAGTTATAATGTTGTTATATTAAAATAAAAAAAGCTTTTCCTTTCTTCGTTCTTTAAAATAAGCATATTCTAATTATGAATGAGATTATAATCCTTATGCGAAATTGGCCGCTTAAAATTATGACCATAACATAGAAAAGATATTTTATCTATCTGTCTATTTAAATTAGGTACACCTATCGCAGAAGTTGAATGGTAAACAGTGAAAATGAAATTTGTTCGATTTCAGGACATGCACCACGAACAACCTATTGAACCCAAGAAAATTGGCCCGTTAACATTAGGAAAGTAATTGTCTTGTGTTCAACGAATAAAGAAAAATTGCTACTGAGGTACCTTTACTTCTACTCGCGGCATTGATATTAAAATGTTCTAAACTTGAAATCATATAATCTCTCTTCTAAACTTTCTATTATATATATAAAAAAAAAGCTATTAAAAATTATTATAAGTATGTATTAATGAATAAAGTGCTTAATTAAAATTATAGTATTCAAACATGAGATATATAATTTAAGAAAATAAATGACGACAAAATATTTATAAGTCACGAGACTTTTGTAAAACATTTCAAAAGATGTTATATTATATAAAAAAATATTATTAAATATAATTGAGGATTTTTGTTTACAAGAAACATTACCAACAAAAGAGTTAGGGGATAAGTGTATCGTTCAACCATCAAAATCTTATTAGTTATTACATGATGGAGCAGAGCTTAGAGTACGAAATAAACATGTTAATCAGCGTCACTGGACCAGCATTAGTGTCGGACATGTTCAAATAGCTCTGCTGCTATGCCAAGAGGCTCACAAGAAGTTGAAAAGAAAAAAGAAAAAAAATCAGGCTCCATACTTGGGAGCTTTCCAAAGCTTAAAGGCTATCTCATACAAGAACCTATCTGCCGGTATTGCAAGATTTCCACCATGCTGCATGACAACAAAATAGAGTGAAATAAAGGTTATACAGCAATGAAGCATTACAGTATCGCTCAACTAGCCAATCACTGGGACAATTCCAAGCAATATTAAACTTCAAAACCAAAGTAATGATTTCATGGATAGCACCGGTAAATTAAAATGATAGCATTTTTTTGCTCAAACAGTGATACTTTACAGAAACTGCAAATACTTGCAGAATCAAATGTGTTGATGGTATACTAGCAGAAACACTCAAGCACACATGATGTTGATCAATAACTTGAAAGTGTCAAAGACTAGAGTATGTGGAATTGTAGACTGAAAGCACGATTAAGAACAAGAAACAGAGCAGGACTTGTAATAAGTCATGCACCGCAATAAGAATACAAACACTAAAGGGCAGCCTGGTGCTATAAAAGCTCCCGCGCTCTGCCTAGGGTCCAAGGAATGGTTAGAACCATTATTTGGGTCTATAGTAGGCAGCCTTAACTTGCATTTGCAAGAAGCTAATTACATGATTCGAGCATGTGGCGTCCAAGTCACACAGCGACAACACCAATTAGTGTTTCTAAAAATAGAGACTCTAATTGGAATAAACCATGACTAACTTGTGAACAAAACTTGAAGTAAAATCTCAAAACAAACCTCCATGAAGTCTTCAAAGAAAAATTTCTGTGCATTATCCTTGCGAGTCACAGCATGTTGCCATTGAGCAATTAACATGGGAGAATGAAGCCTGTATCATTTGATATGGACATAAACACGCAAGACAATCCAGAGAGAAAGCAAGGATTACTGTGATCTTTAATTACTATACTTAATTACCTTACATCCTTCCGAGGAACTCCTCCTTTCATAGCATAACTTTGTAGAGGATAGAGCATTGAAAGATAAGAGTTCTTCTCATCTTTCCTCTTTAACACTGAAAACTTGGAATCATCATCCTGTAAGACCTTGCCATAGCTCATGACAAGGGAAAAGTGTAGACGAGAACTGATGTCAGATCCCGGTTGCGCTTGGCTCATTATATCACCAACCAAGGCATCTATATACTCCACATCAGAAGCAATCACTTTTTGTTCATAGCTATTGAGCTTTTCACCAGCTCCAATGTGAAAGAAAATAAGATCAAATTGGTTATTGTCCAGCACCTTCCCTTCTTGAAAGCCAAGCAACTTGAGCAGCTCAAGGGCTATGACATTATATTGTAATTCAGCGCTACAATCTTTCACCAACTCATCTAATTGAAGAACACTGAAGCCAAGTTTGGCACTAAAAGATTTCAAGCTTGAATTGTTGGTCAATATAGCAGCTTTCATTCCCATAAACCTGTATTCAGAGAAGGAAGTGCTTTATCTAATATAGTTCTGCTATAAAACAACAAATCAAAAATGGATAAAACAGACTAAGAGAATACCTATCAGGTAAAGTTTGTTTTGGTTGATCCTTTTGGCTATCATTACCAGTGATTTGCCCGTCCTAACAAGGAATAAGATAATCAATGAAAAAAAAAAATCTCAAATAGATACAATCTAACATAGGCATTCAAATCAATAACTAAAATCTGTAAGATTATATGGTTAGTATTAGAGATATACCTATCTAAAAAAATTAACTTTACACACGTGAACTATTCATTCGAATGCCAATGATCAAATGCAATAGTTTTGAGTAATTGGGTCTCACCATATTTAAATAAGTGTGGCATGCATCCAGCAGCACAGCAAATTCTCTAACTGTCCTCTCATCGTCGCTTTCTGAAAACTATATATTCAAGTGAATTTGAAGGTCGCATAGGTAACAAATGGGGGGCAAAAAAATTAAAACTTGTGTGTTAGACATTATTACAAACAGGTTGTGGAAGAGAATTATCATTGTAAAAAATAGAAAGAGGATGAAGGGAACCTGAGGGAGGAGAATTAGGGAGTGTCAAGAAACCGCAGGAGGCTTGGGAGGCGAAAGAGTGAAGGTGAGTGTGCGATGATGGATCGATGAAACGGGCTAACCCGTCACCCAATAACACCAGACCTCGGCTTGGTTTGTCTGCCATTGCTGTTCTTGCTGCCTGTGGTATCAGATGCACACCAGTGAGAGAAAGTAAATTATTCTCAAACTAAGAAAACTTGATTATCAGTTTTAGGTCAGTTAATGTTATGTGTAGAATAAAAAAAAAAAAAATTAATTGATTCTTGTATAATAGAAAGAAAAAGGTTTTATTTCTTTATTTAAAGGGCCTGTTTGATGGTATAAACATTGGGAATATTATCTCATATGTGTCCTTAGACAATTTGTCTCATATGACCCACAAAAAAGTAAGCATGACCTACTCTCCTTTTTTTTTCTTTTTTTAAGTGAGTCTCTCATATATGTTTTTTTTGTATATTACATGAGATCATTTATCTCATTCAACTTGAGAAACAATATCTCTATAAACCATTGGATAGATTATCATATCAAGTTTTTATCTATTGTTTTAATAATATCCTCTTTGCTCATTTTATCATATTTGTAAAAAGGTAAATTAGGATGAGATAGTTTATTCTGTCTATCTTTTTTTTATGTATATTTTGTTTATCACTCTTTAATACTGTCAGATCAGGAGTTCAAGAGAAGAAAAATATTGTAAAAGTTAGTTGAGATTATACTCCAAGAGTGTTGAAGAGTGATTGGCACGATAGATATAAAAAAGATAGGTAGAATAATTTATCCCAATTATGATAAGTAGAAATGTAAAAATGAACAAGATAATAATAACAAAAGTTATATCCTTTTTTTCATTCCAAATATAGCCTCCACTTGCTATCTCTATCATTCACTTTCGCCACCTCCATCACCGTTGACTATTATCATCGGTTATCAACCATTACTATCACCACCACCAGCTACCACCTTCATTGCCAACACTAGTCTCCACCACCGTCATCAATCAATCCCGTAATTGCCACCAACCATCCCCCACCTGCCATCGCCTTGAGCTACCGTCACCTCAGCATCCGCCACCAACCATCACCTCCATCATTTGTTAGTCACTACAATTGCCATCGATCATTGTTGGCATTTTCATTTCCACCCATTGCCACTTGCCCTAACAATTGCCATCACCACCACTTCAATTGGCTACTCGTATCTTCACCGGTCTATGTCACTAGTCACCGGTCATCAATATTGATAATCAATTTAAAATTTATATTTTAAAATTTTATTTAGTAATGATATAATTTTTTATTTTAAAAAATTTATAAGTTATTTATGTATTTTAATATATTTTATTTAAAATTATGACTTTTGAAATTTTTAGATAATTTAAAATAATAATTAATGTGTAAATAAGTAAAAAAAAGCAATTATAAAATTAAATTTTAAAAAATTATTTAAGATTATGTTAAAAAATATTTTTATCTATTTTTATCATATATTACCTCAAACACCAAATAATATAATATTATCTTATTAAACTGTTTATCTAATATACATCAAATACTATATAAGTTTATTATACCCACATCGTTTCCTATTCGTAACCATATCTCTCTTCTTATTTATCCTTATCTTGTCATATTATACAATGTTTTGATGTCATATTATGCCTGTAGTGTTGGACAAGAACTCCTTTAATAAAGCTTGATAAAGGTTTAGAACATCGATACTTCGGTGCCATATTATGCCTTTAGTGTTAGACAAGAAAGTATTGATGCTGGCGACCTCCGTTAATAAAGTTTGAAGTATTGAAAGTTTGAAACAAACCCATATTCTCTCTTCCTTAGGGGGCCTTCTTCTTCACTCATCGACAGTTAGACAACACATATCAACTCAAAAACTTAACAACAAATCATTTCTTGATCAAATTCTAATCAAATGAGACTTTACGATTCACACTTTAATCCTACCACATTTACCTTTAAATTTAAGAATTACGATTGCAATGTATTTTAAATTAAATAATAAATTTACAATTATTTGCTCATTTTAAAAGCAAATTTACTTTAAACAAAGTTTATATAATTATATGTAACTCATGATGTCTCTCTTGAAGCTGTCAATGCATTCCTCTCTACGTATAATGAAAATAAATGCAGACAAACATTTTCTCCTAATCAGCACCGCAAGCAGCACTTGGTTATGTGAACACACGCAGGTAGTCGTCAGACAGAGGAATTATACGCTAAAAAGATGAATATTCTGATCTACATTTCCCGCAAATGTTCGTTCGAGCATATAAAACAGATAAACTTGGCTTCACGGTATGGTTGCATCAATTATGCAGTGTTGCCAACCTTGCCTGTTTGTTCACAAAATACTTCTCTTTTCTTACCCTTTACAGAAAGCATCTTGATGCCAAAATAAAAAAGAAAAATTTTGTTCTCAAAGTTCAGCCTCCGATTTGAAAATAAAACTCGGAAACACACTGGTGATATCCCTGGGAGATGACAAAGTGACACAATTAGTTGTAGCTTCAAAGGACTTTGGAGCTTCTCTATGAGAATAGAAATATGAAAGGGGTGACCACAGCATACAAAGGAAGTACCATACTTCAAATAAGGAAGTGTCATGTTCTTCAAGAGTGATGGATTTCGACTCACAAAAGTCTTCCAATCTTGTTGACTGATTTTACCATCATTGTCCTTATCCACATCAGCTATTGTCTGCATACAAAGCGAAGGTCCTATAAAATATAACTAGTATGCCCCATTTGAGTTAAATATTCATATTTGACTAGAAGCTGACCTTATCAACAATGGCTTCAAGAAGATCATCAGAAAGACTCGTGTCAGATTCCATCAAAATGGCTATAACCATTTGCTTGACCTAAAACCAAGTAAACCACTTAAACTATTTCAGCAAATAATATACTCATACTGCCAAATGTGTTGAGGCTTGTATGAACTTGTACACTCACTTCCTCTGGCTCGATATACCCAGTTTGCCTCAGATCATAGAGCTTAAATGCAACTACAAAATATCATCGTGGGACAGAGATTAGATGTGAAGAAAATTTGAGTTTCTTTACATGAAGCCAAGAGATTGTCTTCAGTTTGAACATACAATCAATTTTTTCATCTATAGGGGCATCAGGATGGAAAACACTGAGCGCATGGACAAATTCGTCAAAGTCCACAACACCATTTCTCTTTTCGTCAAAAAGATCAAAAACCTAAAGAAGAAAGAAAATAGATTAGCACAGTATATTCAAGGCATTTGAGGATGAATCATAAATGTCTTATTAACACATGAAAAAAGGAAGTATCTAATAGCTTCCAAATGTATTTTCTGTGTATTTAAGCCTTACTTGGTTATCAGGATCTCCAATATATATGCTTTAGGGGAAAGAGTTTTGTTCACGTATCTTTAAGGTGGTCTGATGCATTTTCATCAATTAGCCAAAAATCAAATTATAACAAATAAAAAAAAAACAAATCTATTATGTAAAGATTACAGCTAGAATGCAGCAAAATTTCACCGCTGCTCCAATGCTCGCCCTAGTAACAGCAAAATTGTTTCCTCCAAAAGTAATAAAAAAAAGAATTCAAATAGTTATTTTGGTCTATTGATTCAATCTTTTTATTTTCATACAGTCATTTTACTATAAAGTAATTTAGTTATAATCTGCTTGCAAACTTAATTTAATTTCAATATAGTAAACAACATGAAGCTGAAAAATATAGGAATTGCTTACTCGATCCAGGAAAAGATTTTCTCCGTTTGGGGTTTGAAATAGTGCCAATTGAAGCTCCACCTACAATAGAAAAAATGTACAAGTATCATTATCACTGCATCACTGACTAAAGTGAAACCCTCAATATAAATGTTCACTAGACTATTTATTATTTATGCTATATCCTCTTATTGATTCTGTACAAAATCTGATTATGTTTTTGGCTCACAATTAGGGGAGGAGGTGGATGATACAACAACCAAAGATTTTTCTCATTAGGTGGAGCTACATGAATCAAACAACATCATTTCGATCTGTACAAAACCAATTCTTCAAAGGCCATTTAATTCTAGATCATTTTTAATAGTTTCACTCATTCTTGATCTACCTCTACCTCTAATTATTGAGCTATCCACCATCTGACCAACTCTTCTATTGGTCTTCTTTTCACATGTCCAAACCATCTTAGGTGCGATTAAACCAACTTTAACTTTAATGCATTCCTTTTTTACCCTATATTTTTTTACAGAACCACTCATCTAACACAATATTCTCATTTCTGCAACCCTTATCGTACGCTCTTCTTGGCTTTATTGCCTAACATTTAGAACCATAAAGCATCGTTGGTCTTATGGTTGCACACTAAAATTTTCTTTTTAGCTTAACATCTTCCTCTATTTCTTGGCCACAATCCAACATACCTGCACTCGGTAACTTATTGTTTGATCTCTAATTTTAACCTGCTAGCTGGTGTTACCGCATATCTTGCTAAACTTGCATTTCATATTTAACTTCTGCTTAAACTATATCATTTGATTCCAAAGATTCTCTTCATAATTCTAGTTTACCATATATTTTATCTCTGAAATCTCCAGCTCGAACTATATCATTTGCAAAAAGCATGTGATTCCAAAGCTTCTCTCCATATATCCTACTTTTTTGTGCTCTTCTGCAAATTTTTACAGAGCCGATCCCAAAGCAGGATAAAAGAGGAGGGTTGTATTAGGTGATTGACAGCAAAAGTAAAATTTTGTCTAATCTTTATGACATGTATAGGAACAAAAACCTATTAAAAGGAAAAGAAAACAATTTATTAGACAAAAAAATATATGCAGCTTTCATGGGTAGGTTTGTCCATTTCCAAGTGCAGAGCTATGAAATCCCAACTATTGCTTAGGCAGACAATGCCACTTATAGTGATTCCAGGTATAACTCGTAAACTATTGTTCTGCTGAGAATAATGAAGATCTCAATCTTTATCAGGTATTAGTAGTCCTAAGAATCATATATGTTGCTTAATAAAACACTCCATGGTTATGTGCTCAACGCACCAACTAATTGCATACAGATTCTAAAATAGTCAGAACAAATGAAATACACATGTTGAAAGAGTAACCATCAGCCAATCTTTCTCTCCCTACGAGAGAGACACACAAGCACACACAAAAGAAGAAGAAATATGCAGCAATCAGAGGGGAAATATTGGAGATGCAAAAAGAAAAAATAAAGAAGTAAAAACTTGCAGTCAATCATACAAAACCAAATATGCCAAACTACTTGACGGGTAAGTTACCTTGTGAATCGAGCCATCATCAATTAGGGAGCTACTTAACTTTTTAAACAGCACATGCAGTGCCTCCACTTCATTAACAGTAACTGCATTATTAACAGCGGAAAAGTCAACCATTAAAACCCTTCATTCTTCAAAGTTCAAACTAGCAATTAATGGATCAACCGGTAAAGGGTTGTTCCAGCTTAACCCATAGTCTCGAGTTTAAGTACTTGCAAATGCAGCTGTGTTAAAACTTGATAGGGAAAGTTTTGCTACCCATACGGTCCTATCCAGCTCAAATCGGACTAGTCGAGTAATCGATGAACTAATAAACAATATCCCAAAAAATAAAAAATAATATTCAAACTAGCAAATCACAATTTCATATGCAAAAGCAAAACTTGTATTACACTATAAGTGTCATTCCTTCCATATAAAAATACAGCACAGGCTTAAAAATGTTCCACTCCATCCACATAAAAGTACAGTACAGTCTCATAAGTTAAGACATTTAAAGGTATACACATTAGCTGATAACTGAGAAATAATATAAACAAATCTAATTCTTCAAAACAGTTCATTTAAGGAAGAAGGAAAAGGCAAACTCACCGAATCTGAACCCCTCCAGATAATGGCTAATTATATACTTTAAAAGTGTGTATTATAAATTATAATAAACCGAGCAAAATTAAGGGTGTTTGAAACTTCAGGAAAGAAGGTAAAGCACGAGTTAATGTATCAGATTCAGAGCTCTATTGGAGAATTGCTTCAATGAATAGCTGTTAAAAAAATTTAATAGACCTTTGGACCCCATCAAAGCTGGCATCAAGTCCACTTGCCTAAAGTTTTTAACAATAATAAATAGCGAGAGAGAGGTGTATCATTTAATTACAGCGCTGTTTTCCACATGGGAGAGCATCCATTATAATATAATATTATATGACCTTCACCTGCGCTTATCATTATAAAAATAACATTAACTTATAGTAATGGATCCTTTGACTTTCAAATTTCATTCACCCTATAACCACACATGAAATACAAGTTGAAAATTCAGCATATAATCACTACTGAAAAAATAAAAAATAAAACGAAACTATATACGTTTGATTCAGCAACGAAATTGAAATTGAAAGTAATGGAAGGGTAATTATAAAAAGAAAAAGGAATGGAATTATATACAGGTGGTTTCGTGAGCGAGGCGTGCGTAATCAATAGCAGTGTAAGCACATTTCTGATTTTGAATCATGCTGCGTGAACGATAACTGAAACAACCAACCACAGCAAACATCAAAACCTCAAAGACAGCTATGAATGGCATCAACGCCGCACAGGTGCACTCCGCTATAGTCCAAGATCCCGATTCCTGTTCAATAAGTTCAAATTCATGAATCATGACTTATACCAACTAATGAGATGAAGTAAAATTCGATGAAAAAAAGATAACATTAATAACTAAGAACTTACAGGGGAATCCCTGGCCATAGGGTATGTGTATGCTTATGCAGCTAGCCTAGAAACCAAGGCAAAGATGATGAAGAGAAGAGATCGATTATTATGGAAAATTGAGAATTTCTGTGCTTCATTGTTTTGAGTTCAGCCTTCCTTAACAGGTGTAGTTGTAGGTCCTTTTTTTGTCTGGTTTGTTTAGAGTTTAGACAATGATGAATTATGGTTACCGCGCAGTAATTGTACGAAGAAGCTCAAACAGAACCTATGACGGAGTTGAAACTTAAACGAAAATAGTCAAAAGACAACCCCCAATGGGTAGGAACAAAACTTTAATTATAATATTAACTTTACATTTTTTTCCCTCTATTCCGAAATTTGATGGCTAACGTAAAAAAAGGAAAAAAAAATTAATATTATAATTATATAATTTGTATTAAAATATATAGTTATAATAATACCGTCACACTAAATACTTAATGCGATGATAATATTAAAGGGACGTTTGGTATGCGTCATTTCTCAAGATTTTTGAGAAATTAAATTTTTTAAAATTTTAAATTTTCAGATATTATCATAAATTGAATATAAAAATTATATTTTTAAAAATTAAGATTCTCACGCAACAACAAAAATTCTCTACCAAACACTCCCTTGAGCAATTATTTGAGAGACAAAAAGACCGTCTCTAAAAAAGGATTGGTTTCATTTTTTTTCTAACGATAATAGTCCAATACATCATCTGGAAGTTTCAATTCCAAATCTTGGAATTGGAACCATATTCCGGGACAAGATGGCCGAATGGATTACGTACCAAACAGAAAAAGAGTCAAAAGACAAAGCGCGTGTCGTGTGGCCGTGCTTGTTCCAAACAACTTCAGAGCTGACCACACTCTTGTGACGTTAACTTTTTCGGGTAAGTATTCAATGCTCCGTTCTAGATACTCTTTAAATAAATAAATTACTTATATATAAAAATGTATTTTTTTAATGTGTCATTATGACATTACGTGAGCTTTTTTTTTTTTTTCTTATTTTAATGATGCACTAATTTTTTTTAAGAAAAATATCACATGTGTAAAATGTTATTTCAGGTGACAACTTGTAAGATTATAAATAAGTAAAAAAAACAGTAGTAAATGAGTATTTTATTTATGTATTTTTTTCTGTTTAAGAACATTATATGTGATAATATAAGAACATTATATGTGATAATATATATATATATATATATATATATATATATATATAATTTATTAAAAAATGTGCTTTTGATCGTCTTTTGTTTAAAAATTTAGAAAACAAACTATAAAAATGAAAGAAATTCAAAGGTGTTTACAAAAAAGAAAGAAATTGAAAGGTTAAGATATCAGAAGTTAATAAAGATATAAATAAAAATAAATCAAATGATAAATTAAAATAATTTTATAAAAAATAATATTTAGAATATATATATATATATATATATATATATGGAAAATAATATTTCCACAGCCACTTTAGATAAGATTATCTACAGCTATCCAAAAACTACGTCATTTTGATTAATTAAGGGTGTTTTTGTAATTTTAGGTGAATTAATAAAGGGTGTTTCAGGTAAAATGCATATGATAAAAAAATAAATAAAATTATGAAAAAACCCTTTATTAATTCACTTAAAATTACATAAACACCCTTCATTAATCAAAACGACGTAATTTTTGGGTAGTTGTAGATAACTTTATCTAAAATAGCTGTAGAAATATTTATCCAGTATATATATATGGGATAGGTTATTCTACCTACTCTTAATTTGCCTACCCTTTCAATACCGTTCGATTACAATTACATCCAACGGTTGATATCTGCGATATAAAATAATTCTTTTTTGCGCTTCTTTCTCCTCACTTCTTCCCACACATTTTCTCTCTTCTCCCCTTTCTCTTGTCAGCGTATACCTATTTGCCTCGACGAACAATCATGCGACTGCTAATGGAATTAAACTGATATTCCTCCGATTTTCCTTCCAATTAATTGGTTTAGTTGGACAAAAGTCAAGTCCTTTGTGCCAATCTCCAGCGATGATTGACTCAAAAATAACATATGATAATTATAGAACTTGATGTAATTTATCTATAAAGAAGATGTTTCTAATATACACATGAGGAACCGAAGAAATTAAACATCAAAAGGAAAAAGAAAAAAATCCATTGTTAACAATAATGATAAAAAGGAACACGCTGAGAAAAAAGATCCATTGTTAACAATTATCTTTTGAATTATCATATGAGAAAAACTGAACCGATTAATGGAATTCTAATGTCATTATTGCCGGATGATTTACATCCTATCTCCAAGCTTTCGACAGCTAATGGAATTCCAGTCTCAGGAACTGAACCGGTTAATGGAATTTCAGTGTCTCAGGAACTGAACTAGTAATTCAGATGGAAGATAATTTAAAATAGGTATAGGTATTGGTGGCAGAGAATGGAGAGGAGGGAGTAAGAATGTGAGAGGAAGTGAGAGAAAAAAATGGTTTATTTTATATCGTAGATATCGATCGTTGGATGAGATTGTAATCGAACGATATTGAAAGGGGAAGGCAAAGGTAGGCAAATTAAGAGTAGGTAGAATAATCTATCTCTCTCTCTCTCTCTCTCTATATATATATATATATATATATATATATATATTGTAGTGGATACTAAATAATGCTGCAAAATGGATTTAAGGAATTAATGTGGCCACAATTTTTTTGGTTTTTTTTTTTGTTTTTTGTAAATAAGGAGGGGCTAAGCCCCAGAAACAAAAGAAAACTACAACTCAGAAACTATGAAGCTAGATATATTTCTAGCATCATTATCTATAAGACCCATCACCTGGGGAGGAGGTTTAGTAAAAACCTTTAAGTGAAGATTATCATTCTGACCAGCCTTGGCAAACCAATGAGCACACTTGTTGTTATCTCTTTTTGTATGAACTAAACGAATGGTCCAATCTGCTTTTAACCATAATCTCAATCTTCTAGTTACTTGAACTGTGTGTATCCTAATAATGCTGTTGTTACTGGAACTGTGTGTATCCTAGCAATGTTGAACATCTTTTAGCCTCCTTCACACAAGGAACAATTACAATGATATCATGTACTGGACAGTTTATTTGGTGGTTGGATCCCATTATTTTGTCATGATTTTCGCTTTCTTCATCAGTCTCAACGGAATTAAAGTTCTCACAGTTACAGGGCTAGCTTCTTCTTTAACACCCCTTTGTGATTATGACATCAGCAGATAGGTGAGGATCTTTGGTTCCATGGTAGCGCAGAGCCCATATCATTATTCGACCCCACCGTCTAACTTAAGAAGATTATGTGAGCAATTTAAAACGTGAACGTCTATATACATTATGAATTCGGTAATAGGAGCTGAATGTGGAACATCGTTTGCCTTTCAGTCAGAAACTTGATTATGATGGGTTTGGTGTAGCTCAAGGTGGAGAGGTTTGATGCTTGACTGTAAGAACAAACTAATTATCCCTGAGCTGCAATAGGGCCATTGGATTGGGTTTGAAAGGTTTGTGGTTTGCTGCAATATGCCTTGCAACTTTTATGTTCATGTCAATTTTTTTAGTGTTAAGGATCAAATAGGGCCTCGATAAATTTGTCAAGACCAAATAGGGCCTTCGATCCTAAGGTCAGCTGTCCAAAACTCCAAGAAGACATAAAACGACGTCGTATTACTTTCACGCTAGCATACTTAACGGTGACTCAGGAAAGTAACGGTCCACGTGTGCTTCGTTAGTTGGGCCGTCAGATACCAATTAACGGAAGGACAAACATGACCCCTTTTTTCAAATATTAGGAACTAAAATGAGCCTTTTTTATTGTTCGGGACTAAAATGTGTCTCGTGAAAATTGCCAGGGACGAAAATGGGTATTTACTCATCCAATTAAATGATATTTTAAGAAAAATATCACATGTGTAAAATGTTATTTCAGGTGACAACTTGTAAGCTTGTAAATAAGTAAGTAAAAAAAAACGTAGTTAATGAGTATTTTATTTATGTATTTTTTTTCTGTTTAAGAACATTATATGTGATAATATATATATAATTTATTAAAAAATGCGCTTTTGATCGCCTTTTGTTTAAAAATTTAGAAAACAAACTATAAAAATGAAAAAATTGAAAGGTTAAGATATCAGAAATTAATAAAGATATAAATAAAAATAAATCAAATGATAAATTAAAATAATTTTATAAAAAAAATATTTAGAATATATATATATATATATATATATATATATATATATATTTATGGGCTTATCGTTTCTCAAGCTGCTTGAGATAATCTTATCTCCGACTAGTAAATCATAACCGTACAAAGATGGATCAATAGTGATAAAGGAAGAGAAAAAAAAAGGGAATCATAACCATTCAAAGATGAATCAATTAATATAAGAAAATAAATAAATAAAACGACATAGTTTTGGGATTGCCGGAGATAAACTTATCTTAAGCTGCTTGATAAATGTTTTTCCATATATATATATAGGGCTTATCGTTTCTCAAACTGCTTGAGATAATCTAATCTCCGGCTAGTAAATCATAACCATACAAAGATGGATCAATGGTTATATATATATAGAGCTTATCGTTTCTCAAGCTGCTTGAGATAATCTAATCTCCGGCTAGTAAATCATAACCGTACAAAGATGGGATCAATGGTGATAAAAAAAGAAAGAGAAAAAGAATCATAATCATTCAAAGGTGAATCAATTAATATAAGGAAATAAATAAATAAAACGACGTAGTTTTGTGGTAGCCGGAGATAAACTTATCTCAAGCTGCTTGAAAAATATTTTTCCCATATATATATAGGGCTTATCATTTCTCAAGTTGTTAGAGATAACTTGATCTCCGGCTTCTAAATCATAATCGTACAAAGATGGATCAATGGTGATAAAGGAAGAGAGAGAAAAAGAGAATTATAATCATTCAAAGGTGAATCAAGAAATATAAGAAAATAAACAATCAAAACGACGTAGTTTTGGGGTGGCCGGAAATAAACTTATCTCAAGCCACTTGAGAAATGTTTTCCCATATATATATATACACACACATATATATATATATATATGGGCTTACCATTTCTCAAGCTGCCGGAGATAAAGTTATCTTCGGCTACTAAATCATAACCGTACAAAGATGGATCAATGATAATAAAGAAAGAGAGAAAAAAAAATGAATTATAATCATTCAAAGATGAATCAATTAATATAAAAAAATAAATAAACAAAACGACGTAGTTTTGGGGTGGCCGGAGATAAACTTATCTCAAGTTGCCGAAGAAATGTTTTTTCTTTTATATATATATATATATATATATATATATATATATATATATATATATATATCTTGTAGTGGATACTAAATAATGCATAACTGCAAAATGGATTTAAGGAATTAACGTGGCCAAAATATTTTTGGTTTTTTGTTTTTATCTAGATATTATTTGTTAAGTCAATTACGAATGACACAATTGGGTCAGGGAAAAGCAGATACAGAATTCGAAAAAACAGATAATTTAGTATGTTTTCTTGACCAATATAATGCAGACGAAAATATCTTGTTTAATATAATTTTGAGAAAACTTCAAAAAAAATCTATAAGTTTCTTCAAAATTACTTATTATTTTCTCAAAATTTTTAATCATTTATCCCCTACTTAAAATTGCTTTATCTTTTACACTCTTAACTTGATTTTTTATCCAAAATTACAATTAACAGTGTTAATTTTTTTTATAAAATATCAAAATTATCCTTTAAAGAAAAACATGTTGTGGGTATTTGTTAAACCCTTTATCAGATTGTGGAATGTAGCATCATTTGTAAATAGATGTAATATTTATGTTTTACCATGTAAGAATTCGCACCGTTAATTAAGAAAATTAATCAGTTAATTATGAGTTTAATGAGATAATTCTATAATTGTCCCTAATAATTATTATGAGACTCTAATAATTATAGTAATTGAGTTATGATGATGAAAGTCGCTTTTCTGACGAAAAATGCAGATACCGATTCTGCTAGTCGTATAAATACGTACCAAAAAAGTATCCCGGAAAATTATAATAAGTGCATGATAATTACTAGAATAATATGTAGGACTTGTAGAACGAGTTTCAAGTTAAAATAATGAGAACTGATGCCAGAAACTGATACTGGCTATGAAAAGCGTGTACCGAAAAAGTGCTCCGAAAAATATAAGAAAAATATGATAATTCTTGTAAAATTGAGTAGGTTAAGAATCCTGAGTTTAGGATTAAAATGCTAAGCGTAGCAATTAATGTTAATACTGTGTGTTTAATTCTTAAGTGACCTATATATAGGACTTTTGCACAAAATTCTAGGCCATATTGTTGCCTCTACGTGAGTTTTTGCTGAGCCTTGTAGTCAGCCACCCTTTGCCACCTTCTCCTCCATTGTTGTGAGCCAAGGAGCTTCCTTTCTTCTTGGTTTCTTCTCCAAAATACCTTGGGCTTGTGAGAGCTTGCTTGGTGGGGGAGTGTGAGTGAACATTCTGAGTTCCAGCCACTGTGTGTTGGTGAGGGTGCTGACCTTGTGAGGTTTGGGTGTTGAGAAGCCTTGGTCATGGCATTTGGAGGTCCAAGTAGTGACCTTTGAGTTGAAAGAACCAACCTTTGGTGGAGCATTTTTGTTTTAGGACCAAGTCAGAACCTTTGGAGTTGGTTGTGAGCTCCAAGAGCCTTTCATTTCTGAGTTTGAAGCTTTGGTGAGTTGCCTAACCTTGATCACGAGTTTAAATGATTTAAAGGTGGTATCTTTGCATGTAAATGAGTTAAGCAAGTAACTAACATATGTATGAACCTGTATAGACCTAAAAATGGAGTCTTGAACGCTTTTAATTGGTAAAAGTTGGACCTTTGTTGGATATCTTCGCGAAATGCAGAAACTGCATTCTGTCGCGAAATATCCGGATATTTGGTCGATAAATATCCGGATATTGATATTTGGTCGATAAATATCCAGATATTGATATCCGGATATGGGGATCTGGATATTCGGATATTGCCAGTGAGATATCCGGATATTGATATCCGGATATGCACCCGACATATATCCAGATATCCTGGGATTTCGTGGAACAGTAAGGTACTGTTCATACAGAACTGAGCTATGGGTTTGTGGACCCTATTTTGATGGAGTTGAACTTCTGTAAATACATAACTAAGTCAGAATCAAGGGATTAAGGGCTTATGGCTTTGTGGGAAGCCTTAAGATGTAAAACGTAAAAGGAAAACGTAGTCTTTATGTGTATGCTATTGAGCTATGAATGTTGATATGCTTGCTGGTCCTAAATCAGATTGTGATCTGTTGTGTTTGGACATTGAGCTTGTGTGGGCTTGACTTGGATTGATTGCTTAAGAGGTAAGCTTTCGTGTCCTCGGTTTAGCCATGTTGTGGTTCCACTATGTCCTATGGGGGTATGGTTATATGAATGCTGTGTTACATGCTTTGGATATTTGAAATGCTGTTGAGCTTTATGTGTAATGGCTTTTAATATGCATGTGTTGTTCCATCTTGACGGTAAGCCTGAGTATGTGCGTCATACAAGACGGTGATCCAGGGTGGATGCAAGTAGCGTCTTGCACTATGTGTGGGTATTTGGCGTATATAAATCCTGTATTTTCAGTAGAATAGAATTGACACACATGACATGATTATCTGTTGCATTGCACTATTTTAGAACTGATGATGATAAACTGCTTTTGAACTTATATTGCACATGTAAGTGAGCTTGGGGTGGAAGATCATTGAGGACCCCTTGCCTTACTGAGATTTCTTGTTTAGAGATCTCACTCCACGTTTGGGGAATGCTTATTTCAGGTTCAGGTGCTATGGGGACTGATGTCTCTAGCGGCAGGAGGCCAGAGCTTATTTGATGTTTAGTGTTGTTCATATTATGCTGGCATGACTGGATTGGATGTTGTTTATGTTTTCCGCCCTTATCTTTATGTTGCTGTTGAGTTGAGACTTATGTGGGCTTTGTTGCTTTATTTAGGGTGAGCATGGGAGTTGTCCATGCCGCCATGTTGTTAGTACTTTTGAGTTGAGTTGTATAAACTGCTAGTTGGTCTGGTCTACGTGTTGTAGCTCCGTTATTAGAGATATACTTATGTTATTTTAATTGACGAGGTATTCCAATTAGCTGTTTATTGCAATATGCATACAGGCGATGTTTTGAAAATGGTTAAGTAATCAAGTTGGTAATGATTAATGACATCATAATTGAAAAGAAAAAGATATTCCGCATTTTTAATTAAGCGCAACTTAATACGATAGTATGATAACATTGCCGGATATATACGGAGTGTTACACACCATCTGTCCAAACATCTTGAGTGCACTATTTAAGTCATGTTGCTTCACATATCCATTTATAATGTGTGTACTCATCTTGAGCATGATGCACATTTTTCATCTTATTGAAGCAATGATAGAACATCTGTCATATATCCGATGTCATGCTCATAGTTTCTTCATAGCCCAAATCTCCCTTCTTATGCCAAAAAAATATGTTTCCAAAAAATCTGGACAGCAACAACAAACTTTAAAAAATCTCATTTCAAGCATATTAATCTCAAAAAGAAAAAAATATGGACAACAACAACAAGTTTCAAATCAATGAATCTTTATCAAATGTTAAGGGGGAATCAATATGTTTTCCTCCTGTTGTAACCATCCATCAATACAAGAGACCATTCAATTAAGAACACATAAAAAAAATTAAATAAAATAGAAAAATGTCATTACCTTTTGTGTTCTTTTGAATTCGAGTCATCATTTGATTTAGCCAGAGCTGTCAACACATAAACACCCACAACCTGTTTTTTTTTTTAAAGGGAAATTTTGATATTTTATAAAAAAATTAACATTATTAACTATAATTTTAGATAAAAAATCAAGTTAGAAGAGTAAATGATAAAACAACTTTAAATAGGGGTAAATGATTAAAATTTTAGGGATGGCAAATAAGTAATTAAGAGAAAATTTATAGGAAGTTTTTTTAAAAATTTTCCAGTAATTTTATAATACATTTCAACGTGGGAATTTAGCAAATTTATATTTGTAGTACATTTCTCTTAATTGGTTTGATTCCAATCGTGTCAACCGTGGAAACACATATTTTGCGTGCTCTTGCGTTCCTCTCTTCCATGCATGAAAAATGTATGAACGCATCTTTATGGGTCATAATATTTCTCTGAAAAGGTAGCTACGGTAAAATTAAAGTGTACAAAAAATATTTGTACCAAAAAAAAGTGTAAAAAAATTAAATGATAAAAATAATAAAAGTATAAATTAATGTGTATATAATCGTGCGTCGTTAACATTATCTTGTGGAGCGAGTCATCAACCACAACAGCTTCGTAAAACTTGACTCGGCGCGTTAACTCGTGGAAAAATGTTTCTATTTTATCTTTATACACATATAAAAATAGAAAAAATGTGTATCATTTTAAAAGACGTAAAGTTATGTCATTTCAAGTGAGAATGATAGATAAATCATGAGAGAAAAATAGATAAATCATGGAGAGAAAGTGAGAATTTTTTTTTTTTTAAAGATATGAGTCTCACCTTTTGGTGAAAGTAAAAAGATGTAAGGTGTATCATTTAAAATGAAATATTTTTTTCCTTATAAAAATATGTGTTTGATGTTTGTTATTTCAAATGACATAAATTACGTCATTTTAAGAGAGAGATAAACACAAAGAATGAAAATCATAGGAGAGAAAATAAGTGGTTTCTTTTTAATTTAAATTCTAAATAAAAAATATTATTTTACTCTCTCTTAAAATGACATTATTTTGGTACTTAAAAAATGACATAATTTTATGTGATTTAAAATTTAAAGATGACAAATATTTTTCTTTAAAAATATATAAAAGAGAAAAAAATTGAATAAATAACAAACGATGTTTTTTTGGTCTTCGAGGTCCGAGTTAAACTAGCTAAGTCTTGCCGATTCATGAATTTTATTCCGAGAATCGTTTCTGAGTCGACTCGGTTTCTCGGTGGTTCGGCCCTTATTTTGTTGTTCATAACGTTCGCCACCGTCAGAAATTCTCATTTTCTCAACCGGAAGCGTTCTCGTCAACCGTCGTTATCGATGTCGTCTTCTTCTTCCGCGAACGACGCGCGCAACCGCATCCTCTCAAGCAAGCTCTACTTCGATGTGCCTCCGTCCAAGGTGAGCGAGTTCCATGTACTTGTATTGTACGCTATACGCTTTGAATATGTATGTATGGCTTTTGGACTTAGGTTTTCGACCATTCAGGTTCCGCTTATCTACTCCGAGTCTTACGATATAGCCTTTATGGGAATTGAAAAACTGTAAGCAATTTTGCACTTGCTCACTCGTGTTGTTATTGCAACTGACACGTTGTTTTTGATGTTGTGAATAAGTTGTCAATTTTAGCATTTGGAGTTGTGTAACTGTTTGTTAATTGTTGTAGGCACCCTTTTGATTCGTCTAAATGGGGACGCATTTGTCGATTCCTCGTCTCCTTTGGTGTTCTAGATAGAAAATGTATTGTTGAGCCTCTCGAAGCTTCCAACGATGACCTTCTAGTGGTACACTCAGAATCGTACTTGAAAAGCCTGAAGAAAAGTCCAAATGTTGCTATGATAATTGAGGTACCCTGATCCTTGCTTTTCTTTAACTGTGGAGCTCTTATTTGGAAGGGTAATGTTTATCTTGCATTTTTAGAGTAGAAACAAGCTGATATGGTTGTGCTGGAATTCTTTGGTGAATTTGTTTCCATTATTTTATTGTTCTGTACGACAACAGAACGGTATTTGCTGATGCTTTATACATACTTACTGATATAAACTTAAAATATAGGTTCCTCCTGTGGCGTTACTTCCCAATTTTATTGTGCAACGTAATGTTCTTTTCCCATTCAGGAAGCAGGTAAAGTAACTGTTTTTCTTGAAGTTTGTTTAGCTTCTCCGAAAAATCTGATGTTACTCCTACTCTAATTGTAGGTTGGAGGAACTATTTTGGCTGCAAAACTTGCAAAGGAGAGAGGATGGGCCATTAATGTGGGAGGAGGCTTTCATCACTGCTCTGCAGAAAAAGGAGGTGGATTTTGTGTTTACGCAGATATTTCTCTCTGTGTCCACTTTGCTTTTGTTCGGTTGAATATATCGAGGTACTATCATATTTAGCCTTTAGAATTGCAAGTTTAGCATATTCTATTAACAGTTGTACAAAAATTGTCTGCGAAATCTCCAGGGTGATGATCATTGATCTTGATGCCCATCAAGGAAACGGTCATGAAATGGACTTTGGCGATGACAGTATGGCCAAAAAATTTCTCCTTCTGGTGTTTGACTTCATATCTTTTAGGATATATTCACTAATAGAGACTTTGCAATGGCAGGCCGAGTCTATATCCTGGATATGTACAACCCTGGAATATATCCTTTGGTAAGCTATCTACTCCTAGATTTGTTATACGTTCTTTTTCTTTCTATTTATGTAGTGATTTTTCTTCATTTCTCCTTTTTCAAATTTGCTTCATTTATTCAACATTGCTGGCTGACATCTGACACGCTGCCAGTGTCCTGCAGTTCTATCATACATTTGGATTGTCATATCCTTTGTCTTTGCCTGAATGATGAATCTTTCTTCTGGTATCTTGAAAAAAAAATTCTACATTCCACTGGTGAAAACAAAGGGGGAGCCTTGGTACAACAGGAAGGTTGCTGTCTTGTGACCAAGTGGTGGGGGGTTCTAGTAAAACATTATCTCTACTCGCAGGGCAAGTTTGTACATATTTGACCCTCTCTATGCCCCATTGTAGGCGCTGCCCTTTTAATAAACAACTGAGGCCTTTTTCTACTAGGTGGGTCAGGCGGTTTGCTACACGGATAAACCAATGCTTTTGTGGTGAAAAACCAAAATTTGGAAAAGGCCATTTGGTTTAAGGTTTTCTTTTAATGATTGTTCTTAGAGTTTTCTTTAGTCTTCCACTACCTGTGTTTATCGGGCTAGCCTCCATATACCTTTGTACATTGGTCAAACCTTGATATAATCCACCCCTCTTACTAGGGCTTCTAGTGGTCTTCTACATACCTCATGCTTAATTCAATGGTGAAAAACCTATGTTAGTACTAGAAAATAGCATTTATGACAAGCTTAACCTGCTACGAATTTTTCAGTTTGCATCTGCAAATGACGTGCAGGAAGCCAGTAAATGATTCTGCTGAAAAATATATTGAAATGGGTTTTATTTAAAATTAATGCCTTCTAAATAGTGATGCTTTGTCATTATGTTGGAATAATGTTTGTTCCACATAATAGGAAAAAAGTAATAAATACGTATATGAAGGTGGTTCATTAACGACAGTTAATTGTTATTTGCTTTCGATTTAAAACATGCATATATTCTATGGCTATTATCAATTTAGTATCTTAAGACCAACTTATGACAATCTCTTACTATTCCTTTTTGTCTTCTATATTAGGATTATGAGGCGAGAAACTACATAAATCAGAAAGTTGAAGTAAAGGTATATTCATCATTTCATTTAAAACCTGGATCATATTTGTTTTCTGATTTACCTCTATAACATTTCTTTTTTCTGTCTCTTGTTTTCCCCTGAACTTTCAGAGTGGGACGCTTACAGAAGAGTACCTTCAAAAATTAGATGAAGCACTTGAGGTATGTTACATTATCATTGTAAACTTTGTTATTCTCTAATATTTTTGACTTGAGTACCCGTGCGGCATAACTTGGATTAGGTATATCTGAACATCTATGGGAATTTTACTTTGCTATATCCTGTCCAAGTATCCAACCATATTAGTTTCATTTTGATGCTTCTAAATATGCAAAGTGTTTGTTTGATTCATGATGCACTTTCTCTTACCTTTCGCTTCTTTATTTTAAAAGTCAAAACAAGGGAAAGGAAAATTATCATTTAACATCCTAATCTCTATGCTTCGTTTTCCATTGTTTTTTCTTTGATTTCTTCCCTTCCCTTCTATTCCTAACTCCCAAACAAACCCATAACATAAGATACTGTAGAATTGTTTATCAGTTGAAAAGGTATATTAAAAGTAACATTCAGGTCCTCTTACAGTCTTACTTATTTTTGCTTTTCATGTCAATGCGATTCAAGGTTGCTGGGCATAGGTTTAACCCTGAGTTGGTAGTTTATAATGCTGGAACAGACATCCTAGAAGGTGATCCATTAGGAAAGTTGAAGGTAATGTCATTCTTGGATTCACTTTATTTCAGTAAAATATAAACTTTTATTAACTTCAGTTGCCTGGTTATTTGCTCTTAATCTATAGTTTCTACTTGAAAAATAATTGGTCATTATTATTAGTTAGTGTTTTAGTTAATTCCTTTATTACTTATCATAGGCTGTGCTTATGCTATTTTGTACACGCAGATTAGTCCTGACGGGATTGCCCTTAGAGATGAGAAAGTTTTTCGGTTTGCTCGTGAGAGGAACATTCCTATTGTCATGCTCACTTCAGGTTTACTTTCTTTTTTCCTCCCTACCATACGGGGGCCATGATGGCCTTACATGTGCACATGAAACTTACTTAACAAAGGCTCAATTCTGAGATAACAATCTTTAGTCATGTGTTCGTCTTTTTTGTAGTTGTTGTATTTGACTCCTGATTATTTTACTCTAGTGAGCATCTAATCTTTAAAAAAATAATCTGAAAGCATCCTGAAGTTATCTTTTGTCGGCTTCCGAGAGGTTATCTTGTCTAGTATGACGTTAGTGCTGTCCACTTATACATCTTTGCGAAAAATTTAAAATACATTTTTTTCAGTGAGTTATCGGAGATCCCATGAAACAACTTTCATCCTGGAAGATAAATGCAGTAATAAAAAGCCATGTTATCATAATCATTTTAACCATCTGTTATATTGAAAGCTTTTTAGAAACTTTGGTTCACTTAAACTTGATCAAATAACAACATTTAATGACTTTGAAATGTGACTAATCAGTTGTAACTATAAGGTATATTTTCAATCACTTCTGGATATTTTTGTTTTAACATTTGGGTTAAATGGAATCTACTTGATAGTTTTCCCTATCCTTGTATTTTTCCATGTTCTTTGCTGACGTAATTATGCCTTAATGGAGATAACTTCTAGGTAACTAATTGTAGAAATTGGCAACAGGCTCAACTGATCCTTGTAACACTGCTTTGGAAACTTTCTTCAATTATTTTCTCAGTCTTTTTAAGATGTTTATCAGGTTGTCTTTATTTGTTATTCCATGTTTCAGGTGGTTACATGAAGACAAGTGCTAGAGTCATTGCAGATTCTATACTCAATCTCTCGAAGAAATGCTTGATAGAAACGAATGGAGGTCCAAAGGCTACATAAGAGTGCTCCTGCACTTCCACATTATGAGATTATCCCGTGATTTCATGGTCCGTTGGATTATCCAAGGTACTTGAAGTATCTGGGTTATAATGTTTCTATATCGGTGGAAACTTATATGTATAGTATTTGATAAAAAGAAAAACAAATAAAATCATACTTTAGATGAATATGTGTTTTGCATGTATGAGTTGTACCATGTCTGTAAATACGAGTATGTTATACATAATGAGTTGTAAATTATGTATTTGCGTGTAAATTAAACATATATTATACATAAATGAGTATATTTCAAACTTAAAACTGGGATGACCACATGGGCAATAAGTCTGTTTATTCTATCTAGTTTATCTCATGTGCAGTATGAGTTCGGCAAAATTGTGCATGGAATTCAGGGAAAGCATTTTATGTGGCAGTTTGATACGGCATGTGGCTAATGATACATTGATACTTGTCAAAAGTGTGCTTTTCCTACCTAAACGTAAAAGATTATTTGCTACGGAAAGCTACTATACATAAAAATAAGCCATCTGCGGCGACAACCATGTATAAAATTTCAATAGGTTCGATACTTGGGTTTTCATGAAGGCTTTTTCGGTTATCGAGTGCGCTATTCAAAGGGTTGCACGTGTAGCTTGATTCTTAGGTCAGCTTACACCGCAATCCTTATATTGAATTTTAATTTGTTTAGGTGTGATGGACCATTGCACCTAATTCTTCATTAAAGGAAATAACATAAATTTTATAACAAGTAAATTTACCAATAATGAGACGTGACTAAAAAGACCAATGTTTACACACCGTAGAAAATGAAAGTACAACTTTATAAATACCAAGGTGCGACATTTTATCCATGGATTTATCGTGTTGTGTTAGAAAAAAAGCTTTCCTTCTTTTAGTTACAAATATAATTATATTTATTACATTATGAGTTTCTATTTATATCATCGTAATCTACAATAAAAGAAACAACAGAGACAGCCGTCAACCAATCAGGGTGGTAAAAGGATACATTTTATGACTACGAAAGGATAATTTACAATTTTAGATTATAAAAATATGGATTCGTTTTTTCTATAGATAAGCTATCTGCAATAAGTTCAATACGACGTCGTTCTCGGACATAAATTACGGTGTTTTTATAATTTTAATTTATTTCAAGATTATTATAGTCTTTATAATTATAATTTTTAATATTTCAATCCTAAAATGACGTCGCTTTGAGAATAAATGTAGATAACTTATCTGCATTAATTACAGAAATATTTTTTTGTAAAAATATTTAATTAAATAATAGAATCTAATTGTTAAGAAAATAAAAAACGTTACTGTAGGGACTATATAATGAGAGGTCCTACGATTTATTTATTTTTTTGGTAAACAAGGGTCCTACGATTTTCTTAGTCGAAGTTGCACTTGAATTTTGGAAAATCATAGTTTGAAGGTAGCAGGGAACTAGAGCAGCAGTGATAAGCAATAAAGCAAAGCAAGGAACATTCTTACCGGGTACTATGTTCTGCACAAAGCTGTTAATCTTAATCCATATTATTAATATTATTAATTAATTAATTAACTAATTAACTATTAATTTAATGGCGCACCTTTCATTCATTGCCTTCCAGTTCCAGGTGAGGGCGTCACGTGTAGGGTCCGTGCATTCATTGTTCATGCACACACTTTCAGGTGTTGACAAAAGTGCGTTGCCACTTGCCAACACCCAGCTGTGTATCCTGCACAGTATTAAGATGTCCAACACAATACACAAAAACAAAAACCTAACTAAATATATAAAATTATTAAATTACGCATACATTTGTACAAAATTTTGAAACATTAATATATTAAAATATTATTTAAAGAATTATGAATTTAATTTTAATTATAACTTTTTCTAATATTTAAAATTATTTTTCTGGTTAACAGCTATTACTCATATTTGATAGATTAGTAACAATTATTAAATAACTATCATGTGAGCGACTATCACTATTTTTAATGATCATTCGTCGACTTTAAATGGTAAACAATATAAAATTTATTATTAGGAATAGGATTTTATGTTTATCTTTTTTTTTTGTTTATTTTACTTTTTTTTATTTATTTTGACACTATTAAATTATAATCTGACCTTCGTCATCTCTCTCGAGATTACGATATGACGGTAGAAAAAAAAAATAGTTATGAAAAAAGATATACATATCCCTAATTTTAAATATTATTATATAAAATTAAATAACCATTTTCTTTAATTAAAATTTAAAAAATCATTATTAACAAAATTTATTTATTTTTGTCTCTTTAAAATAAGGAATGTGTTATTTTACATATTTTTTTTTCTTGCCTATCTTATCTATAACTCTCTAGTTACTAATATCAGTATATCATAATCTCAAGATAAAAGGAAAATAATAAAAATTAGTTAAGATTTTGATCTAAAGTATTGAAAAATAATAAATAAAGTAGGCATAGAAAAAAATAAGTAGAATAATCTACTTTTTAAAAAAAAATTAGAAGGAAATTTTTTTGCAATAACATGACATTCATAAAACTCATATTATATTGACTTTTCGTTATCATTAACTTTCTGTAAGTTTATCGTAGTTCAGAAAACACTGAGGAAAACTAACATCAATTTTTTTTCTTGCTAATATTATCGATTTCGTTAGACTGTATATATTTCTTACTATAATTCAGAAAAATAATAAACACTCGTAGGATCCATTCTTTATTTAGATCAGATTAGACATCAACTTCGATTTCTTTTCCAAAAATATTATATTAAGACTAGATCTATTAAATGAATTTTTTCTTATAAAATTAACAAAAAGAGACAAACAGGTATGCTTTAAACAGATCTAGCCGCGTTATATATATATATATATAGGGTGCATATTTTCTTATGTTGTAGGATAGTAGGAGAGAAAAAAAGTAGAGATAAGTTAAATGTGGGTTCCACATTTTAAATTAAAAAAGAAAAGAAAAATTAATTGGCACGGAAAACGAATTTGTGTAGGAAAAAGTTCTTATCTCATGTGGAAGGAGATAATGATTTCCCATATATATATATATATGGCTTATCGTTACTCAAGCTGTCGGAGATAATTTTATCTCCGGCTAATAAATCATAACCGTACAAAGATGGATCAATAGTAATGAAGGAAGAGAGAAAAAAAATGAATCATAACCATTCAAAGGTGAATCTATTAATATAAAGAAATAAATAAAAAAACGACGTCGTTTTGGGGTGGCCGGAGATAAACTTATCCCAAGTTGTCGGAGAAATAATTTTTTCCATATATATATATATATATATGGGTTTGGTGTTTGTCATTTTAATAGAGAGATAGATACAGAAAAACGAAAATCATGGGAGAGAGAAAGTGAGTGATTTTTTTTAATTTAAAATTTAAATAAAAAAAATTGTTGTGTCTGTCCCTCTTAAGATGACATAACCTTATGTCATTTAAAATGGACAAATATTTTTCTATATATATATATATATATATATATATATATATTTAATTTTATTATATAAAAAATACACATAGAATAATTAATAATAATAATAATAATAAGCAAAATAATTAATGAACGACCACAACTTGACCCTTCACCCGTTCACCTCACTCCTTGTCCTCCTTGGTCCTCGTTGTTCTCACTTCTCAACTGCCTCTCTCTCTCTCTCTCCGGAGAGCACTGCCGTAACGGAACGCCGGCGAACGGCCACCGCCGTCCACTGTCCGTACAGGCACTGGTAGCTGCTAACGTGCGCCGGCATAGCAATGTTGAATTGTGGCAATCACTTGGTGGTATTGGTGCCTGTTGTGCTGGTTCTCTTCCACTCTCTTCTTCTGCTACCTTATTCCTCGCTCGCTATCCGACCCGTCGAGTTGGATCCGGGTCGGGTCGAACTCGTCAACGCGACCGAGTCCAATGTCTCTCTGTCGAAGCCTAGGGAAGGGAGCTTCGCAGAAATGATTGATCGAGCCCTGGAGAACGAGTTCCCCGAGAACGATCAAAACGAAGGTTACTCCTAGATTCTAGATTGTTCTGCTCTCGAATTCAATTTTTTCAATTCAACTGAATTGTGATTTTCTATTTGTTGTGAATCATGCACACACGCACGCACGCACGCTCTCGTTGGGCTTTGGTCTCGTGTTGTGAACTAGTTTGAGTTGAGGGTTTCTTCGGTAACATAAGCCGTTTCTTCAGTTCATCGATCCTGATTCCTGATCTGTGAACATAAGTCCTTGTTGAATTGCAGATTCGTCTAAATTAATGTTACTTGCACAGCCATTGTGTTGCATCTTACGATTATACTTCTTTTCTTTTGGGCCTTCCGCAAATATGATATAGAAATGGAGAATTTCAAAACCTATTTTAACGTTTAGCTTGTCCTTCTTTTGCCCCTTCGTTCCAGCAGTAGCTGATTCGGGAAGCTTCAACAACAGTGTAGCAGAACAACAGGTTGGTCTCCTACCATAACACTTGATTTAAAAAATGATATACTAGTTTGATTTAATCAGAGATTATAAAATTTAATGGCACAATTGAGTTACCCTTTTTTATAATGAAAGTTTTTGCCTCACTGTTTCAACTTTCAAGCTTTAAGTTAGGTTGTGAATCTGGTTTTGTTCCGTTATCAACATGCATCCACAGTGTCAGTATGTTACATAATTCTCAGAGCATCATAATGCTGAGTTGCTCTTCTTGCCCTGTTCGTGTAACAGGCTGTTCTGGAAACTGTGGCCAGAGTCAAGTCAAACAAGAATGACACAGAAGATGACAAGTACTTGTTTCATGTTTTACCTATTACTTGAATTGGTTGTCTGATATGGTGCATTTCATACATAATTTTGTTTCGATATACTAGTTAAGTGCATTTTTCTAAACCTAATAGGTCATTTCAACTCCATCATGTATTCAATAGAGCTGAAGAGACCCCAATGTTGATAGATCGAAAGGTGAGATAGGCAGACAGCTCAATGTTGGATTTGTTCTTTTTGCTATTATTTAGTTGTGTTTTGCAAATTCCAAGTGTATAAATTATGCATCTTCTTTCAGGACAATGTCTTTATCATTTCTAATTTTAAATCCAAGTATCCGGTGCTGCAGCTAGATTTACGGTAAATTTATTTTGCTTGTTATGTTTTCAGTGTAAAATAGGTTATATTACTGATGAGAACTTCTTTCGTTTTTGCCATATAGACTGATTTCAGACCTGGTAGTTGCTATTGTTTCGGCGACTTGTGGTGGTGTGGCATTTGCTCTGGCTGGACAACCGGTCTGAACATTCTTGTTCATTCTTGACAATGCAATATTAAGATCTATTGCAGTATAATTTTTGTTAAATCTCTTGTAGCATTGCCTTAAAGTATAATTTGGCAGGTCATAACTGGATATCTTCTAGCTGGCTCAATAGTTGGACCTGGTGGCTTTAACTTCATCAGCGAAATGGTGCAGGTATCTAGAAAACAGTAATCATTTTCTCTTATATTATTTCCTTCTTTTATTCAAAAAAAATAAATTGTCTTTTTTTTTGGTATACTTTTAGAGTTCAGTTCAGTTGGATTTCATTTTTGTAATTTTTTAATCTTTTCAGAAAGACAATCAACAAGTAGCAACACTTCTTGAAAGGCTTTGATTTGATATGTGCAAGCCTTTTTTCTGCGCAATTACATTCTGTTTATGTACATTCAACTGGGGGCTGTAGTTTAGGTTGTAATCTTATCAAATGATAAAAAGTGTTGGAAAAGGAAAAATGTAATTACGAAATTTTTGTCTGGTATTTCACACTGATAATTAGCAGGGTAAATTTCACTCACTCTCCATGAGGTATTGCAGAATGACACCTTACTCAATTCTCCCAACCAAAATTACACGTTCCCTACTTGACCAAATCGATTAACAGCATACTACTTTATACTAACAGATATTCCCTCTAACCTTTCATATAAGTATGGTTAATTTTGTTAGGATCCCCAAATTTTCAGAATTGTTATTTTTCAGCACTAGAGCTCTATCCCATACAGTCTCCGCTTTTTCCAACAAGGAAATTCAACCTTCATATGTGAGAAAGCATAGTCGTTATCTCCTCCCTGTCCCAAGGATTGCCTTCTTCAATTAGAGCTTGAGTCACACTCTAGCTGTTTGTGGCTGATAGAATCACAAATGGTTTGAGATATTAGTGAATTCATCTCTTCCATCTTTGATGGTGTCAAGTTGATTGTCTGAAGCCTTATCAAAAGCCATCAGTTGAACTTTCTTCCTGGGGGTATCCAAGATCGCAGTTTTGATACCACTTGATAAGGGCCCTAAGTTTCTATTGGACGAGCACTTTGAGGGGGCCATGTCCTCTAAGAAAAAAGCCTTTGGCTTCTCATTTATTTCTTACAAAATAATCATGCAGTCTATACAATGTATAGTGCTAACCCTAATTAAAATTGGAAACTACATGATCAAAGAAAGTATCATAATTAAAGGAAGATCCTTGTTAATATAGGAAACTGCTTAGTCAAAAGAAAATAGCAATAAATCAGAAAATAACAATAATTCCTAAAATTTAGGAATTCTGACAAATATTTCACTAAGAACAACTCTCACAAAAGTTTAAACTCCTAGGTTAAGACATAAGAATAATTTTATATTTGTTAATGCACCTCTTCATGCAAGAGTCCTTTAGGCTTGAAACATGAATAATGCATAGGCCCATTTTACCTTGTGCTAATATTTAATTCAATTGTGAAGAATAAGGGTGGCAAAAGTCAAACTCTGAATTACTTGATCGTAGAGACTCTGATACCATCTCAAAGACCAATTCTCCACAAAGTTTAAGTTATTATATTAGGTAGAGGCCCAATAATGATTTTATGTCTTTTAACAATTTTGCATATTTGACTTGTGACAAAATTATAGTTCCCTTATCTTTCAGTGCATGGTTGTTTGGAGTCCAAAATTAATTCTGGGGTATCAGTATCTCCCAAAACTAGTTTTGAAGGGCAAAATTATGTTTGGTAAAATCATTTCAAGATGCAATCTGGTATCAGTATGCATTCCATTATCTTTTATTTAGTAACGTGACTCCTAAAAGCAATTTTACTTGATACTATCCTAACAAACTCATTCTTGCAATAATATTTTAAGATGCACATTCAAAAGTAATTTTTTCAATGATTTTTCCCAATTACATTGTGCTCATAAGTAGTGTAAAGAACCAATTCAACCCAAAAGCTTAAGCTATTGGGTGAGGGCCATTTTAATGGTTTATATTATTCTCTAACATACTCCCTCACGCAAGAGCCCTTTGGGCTTAAAGCGTGGATATTGCCCAGGCAGGTGGTTGGGCTTGCCCACCTACCTGTGCGAAGAAAGAAATTCCATTAGAAAGAAAGTGGGGGGCGGTGAGGATCGAATCCGGGACACGAGGCTCTGATACCATGTAAAGAACCAATTCAACCCAAAAGTTTAAGCTATTGGGTGAGGGTCATTTTAATGGTTTATATTATTCTCTAACAAGTAGTATCACACTAACATTGTACAAACAAATATTTACTTCCATAAATCAAGTTTGTTTGAAACAGAACAGTTTCCCCATCAATCTTGATGTTACATTTTAGTTGAAGCTCCCTTCAACATCCCTGCTACAAGAGTCCCTATCCCTCAATTTGACAGGCTCTGCATCACAATTTTCAACAAACTTAGATGAGTTGATGCCATTATAAATTAGTACATTTCTGAAATAAGTAAACTAGTTATATCAACTTCATCTCAAGTTATATATATTTTGCACTTAATAGTGGGAGAAGAAAAAACTACAAGAAGCTTGAAACAAGTAAATGGAGTGGAACTTTGGAAGTAAAACAAGTTGAGAGAATCTTCATTGGGGTCAGTGTGGGCATGGGTAAAGCCCTCTTTTGGCTAGCCTGGTCAGAATCTGATATGCCCTGTTCAAGGGGACTTTTCTTTGAGCAGATTCTGTTGGGCATTCATATATGGTGCAGAAACACTCCCCTTTCCCAAAGTTTGCTGTAATTCCCTAAACTAAAGCCTTGTAGTTGGTTCTACTCATATAGGGCACCTACTTCATATAGGGTGAAGTAGACTTTTGCCTTGCCTGGTCAGTATCAGATATGCCCAGTCCAAGGGGTCTTCCTTTGTGCAGATTCTGTTGGGCACCTACTTCATATAGGGTGCAGAAACACTCCCATTTCTCGAAGTTTGCTGCAATTCCATAAACTAAAGCCCACTCTTTTTGCTGCCGTACTGTCTTATATTCACGAATAACTGAGGAGATTTAAAAATATGAGCGAATGTATGCAAGCGGGAAGATAGATATATATTCAGTTCAGTGAATAATATAATATACTAACAAACTACAACAGAAAATATCAGTTTTTTAAGTCCATTGCATATGCACTTCATATATAGAATATATGACTTCAATTTCATGATGGAGCAAGACAAATGTGTTTGCTTTACAAGTACAAAACAAACAAATTTATAGATGGAATCTATCGCAGAAACTTAAAAGTAATATTGGATGTTCACTCTTTCACTTTGGCAACCATTCATTGCTCCGATAGTTCAGAAGCACTACATTGATGGAAGATGGTGACAATATGAATGATATTTGGGGATTTCATTTTTATGATCTTCATTGTTTAATTTCTAAGGTGGATGCAGAGGAAGAGACTAAGATGGCCCTTTTTTATCTCATGCAAAGTAGGTTTTAACCAAAGAGTTCTGCATTAGTTGAGGGTGGTAAGGGTTTGGATTAATAAGCTGGCAGGGTTGTTTCAAACTTCTGACTCAATTTGTGATGTTATTCATCAGAATACTCAATAAGGGTGAGCTATTGGTTTTGACCAAAAATGTGGTGGAGTGTTATTCTGCAATATCTTGATGGGAGTGACTACCTAATTTAAATTTAACTTACTCTAACAATGTAGATCATGTAGGGTTTGAACGAACACAGGATTATTTATCCCAGCAATCTGTTCAAATATGTAGGTGGAAACAGTGGCTCAATTTGGTGTTATATTTCTTCTGTTTGCATTGGGCCTGGAGTTCTCCGCAACAAAGGTTGGCTTATTTTTCTGTTTTCTTCTCTTTTTTCTTTTTATTCTGTTTATGTTGTAATTAGCATTGATTACCCAACTTTGTACCTCTTATGTTTGCAGCTTCGAGTTGTTCGTGCTGTTGCTGTTCTTGGAGGCTTACTTCAGATTTTTCTATTTATGTGCATGTGTGGACTAACTGTGTCGGTGTGTTTTTATAATTGTAACTCACTATTTCTGAGCTTTTTGTTTGTTTTTTTATATCATTTCATGGCTTGATGTCAAATGCAAATTATAAACAAACAAACTATGGATCATGTAGTTGTCCTCTGTGGATGCCATATATGATATTAATCTGACTTGGTTGCTTTGTCATCTATTTATTGCATAATCTGTTTCTGTTGTCATTATTAAATACAAAGAAATACTGATTTTCCAAACCAAGTGGTAGGTTTGATCTTTTTAATTTTAGATTTAGTGTGCATGTTTATTGAATTAAGGGCTTCTGCTTCAGTAAGTAGATTTTGGGAAAACTATAACTTGAGGTCCCCAAGGATGGAAAATTTGGTAGTTTGAAACTGCTATCATGTACTATAATCGAAAAAGATTCCGAGCTATAATAAAGGACCAAGTATCAGTTTCTGCATTCTAATTCATCTCACCTTTCTTTCTGGATTTCTTATCTTCCATTGGGGATATATTCTCCTTTTTTTACAAGATCAATGATGTTTGGTGCTAGTGAAATAAAATTGTCTTATTTGACTTCAATTGTAGGTGATATAAATTGGGAAAAAATGAAACATCATTAAATATATTTACTCATATTTCTTAAAATTCAGAGGTTAAATAGTTGTAGTATGATAAACTCAGTAATTTAATCAAAAGCTTTGTGTTAATTTCATCTCACTATCTTGATCCGATATCTCCTTTATAATTTGATTGTTTGGGGTTGTTGTAGTTTTAGTGGATATCTCTAGGCAAGCAATGTCTTATTTTTTTAGACTTTGCCATGATATTCTGAATGCTATAGTTTCTGATTGGATGCTATTTTGTAGTTGTGTGGTGGTAAAGCTTCAGAAGGTGTTTTTGTTGGTGCTTTCCTTTCTATGTCTTCAACGGCAGTGGTATAACAACATAACCAATTGCATTCCATCCTTTTTTGAAAATGCTAGTGCAGCCTCATGTACCTCAGGACCTATAATCATTTTTTCTGTTTTTTATTCACTTTTTTTGGGTCCAGGTTTTGAAGTTTTTGATGGAAAAGAACACTGCTAATGCCCTTCATGGACAAGTCACAATTGGGACCCTTATTTTGCAGGTACTTAGTCTGTTGTTAGTTACCTTGCTTGTAAGTGAAGTTTTTCTCCCCCTGCTTTATCGTGTCCTGTGTTATTCTTTGTTTACTATTTTGCCAATATAGACAATAAATACCTTAATCAAATACTCTATTAAGTTTCGTTAATTCATTTTTCCTTGAAGGATTGTGCTGTTGGATTGCTTTTTGCATTGCTTCCAGTCCTGGGTGGCACCTCAGGTGTTTTTGAAGGAGTGTTATCCATGACAAAGCTGTATGTATATAAACTCATAAGTCTTTGGTTTTGTACTGATATTTCCATTACATAACCATTTCTTCTTGTGTTTTCTTCTCATCACTCGCCCTAAAAAAAATTAAAGGCAAATTCATGCATATTTTTGTCTTTTGAAAAGATATGATTATAAAATAAGTTTTTCATAAAATTTGTGTTCAAATTATATGTTTAATTAAAAGTTTAGTCAGTGCCCATATATGTGCTGCATAATCAAGATAAAATAGAAAATAGAGAAAAGTGGGAAATCTGGAAAAAGAAAATGTAGAGTGAAGGATAAAAGGTGAAATAACATGTTAAAGTGCACCCAAACCAAAAAGGTCACTAGTTAATAGAAAGGAGGGAAATTAAGTATTGCTGCAGCTGTCAGACAACAAAGTTATAGTCAATAAATCAAGGCTTTAATGTTTCTAAAGTGACTGTAGATAAGTTATCTACATTCACTCCCAAAACGACGTCGTTTTGAGTTGAAAAATTAAAAAATTATAATGAAAAAGGCTATTATAACCCTGAAATAAATTATAATTACAAAAATACCTTGATTTCCAGCTCAAAACGACGTCATTTTGGGCTCAATGTAAATAAGTTATCTACATTGACCGTAGAAAAAGCGAACCCATAAATCAATCATCTAAAGCGAGAAAAGGGTACTTAAGTGGTTAATTTCAAAAGTAGTAACGGACATGAAGGTCCTTTTCTTATGATAGCTAGTGTCACTGGCTTCCTTTGATAAGCATTCAGTGACCTTTGTTTTGCTTTTTAGCTTCAATAAATTTTTATTTTGTTTTTGCTCAACTATGATGTACTGAACGGTGTTTTAATTAGAATTTGTTCAGCTCAGCACTGAACTGAGATATTCAAATTCACCCTTTGACCATTTTGCTTTCAATGGAAGATTTTACTTAGCATGTAACCTAGAGTTTGTTTGTGACATAGCATGATGCTCCTTTCCTAATTCAGGTTGGTGACATTGATTGCATTCCTCTCTGTTCTGTCAATTTTGTCTCGCACTGGCCTTCCATGGTTGCTTAAACTGATGATAAGCCTATCAACACAGGTTCATATTATTACTCCACTTTAATGACCAATTCTCACCTGTTAAAGTGGTTGCTTCTTTTCCTCTTCTCAACAACAAAGGCAGGAATGGAGGAATTGAATTGGAAATTTGTTGTGGTGCTTTAGCTATTTCCATCTTTTGGTTATACTAACAGTCTTAATGATTCAATGATAACCTTGTTTGTGCAGACAAATGAACTCTATCAGTTGGCGTCAGTTGCATTCTGCTTGCTTGTAGCCTGGGTTTGTTCTCTCCCTAATTTTTCAACTGTCTGAACTTCTGTATTTCTTTTTGAATGCTTTGTTTTTCATTGTTTTTATGAACAGAAAAAATATATAAATACTTGTTTATTTGGTGTACTTGCCGTATTTTCACAGGGTATGGTAATGAACACTAAATCAACATTTTCTGCAAATCATTTAATGTTGATACATTGAAAATATCTATTCTCTGAACCTTCTTAGCTACATGTTCAATTACAACTATTAAACCTTGTTTTTATTCTTAACCCATTAGACAAGGATTTGTGATGGTGATTAGAATGCCAAAACAGTGGAAAGGTTTATCTTCTTGTGAGAAGACCCCATGCCTCATGCGTGGGAATTAACATTTAATTGTAATCAATGCTTCTGTAGAAAATGGAGATGTGTGGTGTCAAAGGCAAACTGGATTCTTATGTCTGAGCAGAAACTCCCTTGTGTGTGTCTATGTGTGTGTGTGTGTGTGTGTGTGTGTTTTCTCGTTTATATGTTTAAAGAGCTCCTGCACTTTTCCCTTGGCATGTGTTATACATCTAAGTTTCTTATAATTGTCTTCAAATAATATATGCTTGTTCTGTTGCTTGATAACCTTACTGTTACATGTCAAACAAAACCTTTTTATCTGATTGCTTTTATATTTTCAGTGTAGTGATAAGTTGGGACTAAGTCTAGAACTGGGTTCTTTTGCTGCTGGAGTGATGATTGCAACCACTGATCTGGCTCAACATACACTAGAGCAAGTAAGGCTATATACAAGATGTGGAAAATGCATGTGGTGCAACACGTCGAAACAAATATCAATTGACTGTTGACATGCATTGATGTAACTTTGTGTTCAAATAGATGCATGTAGATTCTAAATATTGGTATTATAAAATACATTAAATTGTATATTTCTATCATCCACCTAGTGATGAGTGAAAATGCAATATATTTGTGCACATTCATTGGTCATTTTGATCTGTATTGTTCGTATGTGGCAACTAATTTTTTCCTCTATTAGCTAAAGATTGTTCAGGGCATATTTGTATACTTTCCTTCTGTACAATCTGGTTCCCATTTGTTATGTACATTGATAAATTTGCTGATTATTTCATGTACCTAGACTCTTAACTTCAATGCTTGTAAGATAAGTTATGGAAGAAATTTGACACTAGTTCACTTTCTTTGCAGATTGAACCTATCCGCAATCTTTTCGCTGCTCTTTTCCTTGCCAGCATTGGAATGCTGATTCATGTTCATTTTCTCTGGAACCATGTTGATATTTTGGTAGCATCTGTAATTTTGGTGATCGTTATAAAAACAATCATAATTGCTTCTGTTGTGAAAGGATTTGGTTACAATAACAAGACTTCAATACTTGTAAGCTTAATTTCATAATTTGAAGGTTATGATGCTGTCTTCTTATCTTTTCAATGGTTGAGGAACCTGAATTCATGCATTATACAGGTTGGAATGTCACTGGCACAAATAGGAGAATTTGCATTTGTTCTTCTCAGTCGTGCTTCTAATCTTCATCTAGTTGAGGTTAGTGACAAAATGGATTTATGTAATGTTGGTAATTAAGTATTCAATAATTGCTTAAAGGTTTCTAAAGGAAACCATGCAGAATTTTCTTATTGTATCAAAATGACATTGATATTGCTATATCTGTTCAAAATTGGTGATAGGGCTAGAAGTTAGTGAAGCCAACTCGTTAGCTTGGTTCATTAACAAGTCAATGAGTTGAAAATTTTGGCAAATGTGCCAAGCTTGATCTTTAACATTTTTGACTCATTAGCTTGGGAGCTGTCTCCATATATAAAATATATGGACACTTTGAAATAGTAATATTAATACTTCAATTTAATATATATTAGCATTTAATTTTTTTTTTGGTTTGAAATACTGAAAATATCAACAACAAAAATTACAAATGCGAACCTATTCTATTGAGCCTAAAATATTCAATTAAAACAAGACTGATATTGGCTCATTAAGCTCGAGTAGCATGTGAGCTTTAGGTGAATCAAGAAAATTGGCTCAACTTCTTATTGAGCCAAGCTTTAGTTATGTGTATCTCAGCTCAGCTCGACCTACTTGGTGATATAGCTTGAAAGTTGAAACTTAAATTTGAAATTATTATCAACCATTATGGAATTTAACATTTGATTTAATTTCAGGGTAAACTATATCTGCTGCTTCTTGGGACCACGGCTCTTAGTCTGGTATGAAATGATTTTCATTTGTTTGAATTAACAGTTATTAGGTTCCATAACCGACCCATGTTTTTCTAGCTTTCTTTTGTCTTTGATCTAATGGATGTTCAAGAACCGAATCTATGCAAACTTCATTCTGAATGGAAGTTCTTACTTTTCCTTCATTATGTATTTTTAGCACATTAGGATTTCTACGATTCTCTATCTTGTGCATTTCTATCTTCTTGCTGAAAGATAAGTTGGTGGACAAAGAACCAGTTTCTGTAATAATTTTTTGTTGTCTCATACTTGCATATGACTGTGCAGGCAACGGATATGTAAAATGCTGAAGGTTATTCAAGTTGCATGGATACTATTGGGGGTTATGGATCTTGAAATGCAGTAAACTTGCTCACACACAAATTTAGCTGATAACCTTAAAGTGCAAAGAAATGGCTGGAGGCCAATTATAACTTATTATAATGTTTCATCTTTCAAAATGAATGCTCTTTTATCCCAAAAAATAAATAAATAAATAAAAATGAGTGTTAGCAAACTCTGATGTGGGGCTAACTTCTCTAAACTGTACTAGGTTACTTCATCTACAAGTTCACCAAACATCTAACTGTAAACAACTATTATTATGAAGTAGTAATAAATGATCCCGTTAATAATATCTTAGCTCATTTCTGCAGGTGACAACTCCTTTACTTTTCAAGCTAATTCCTGCTGTAGTGCATCTTGGTGTGCTATTGAGGTGGTTCTCTCCTGACAGTATAGTGGAGGTAATCGCCTGTCATAAAGTTAATTTTCTGTGAATTGTTTGAATTCTGTATGTCTGAAAGTCAGTGTATGCATATGTGATTTCATTTTCCTTAATCTTTTGTTATTGATTCTCAAGATCTTTGTTGTCTGAACGTAGATTGGATATAAGGTGGATAACCTCCGCTCAGACAGTGGTAAGCAGCGGATAATTTTGATGGACCAAGAATCTCACGATTCTTAATCACTTCTCTGGACAAAGGGAATTCCATTTTTGCACGACGTTAGTTTTGACAGGGTTTTCCAAGGTCTTGTTGAAAAGAATTTGATCTAACTGCAATTTTTCTTGAATCAGCCAAACGTATTCCGTGATGGATACTTGCTTACCGAACTGACCAAATACTAACCAAGGCAACTAATCCGAACCCCATAAATGGAAAGAACGGGGAAAGAGGAAGGACAAAATACTGAAAGAAAACTGACAAGAAGACGTACAGATGAAGTTATGTTGAAGATATTCATTCCACAACTCCACTTGACATTCATTTTTTTTCTTCTTTTTGGCTGGGGATGCTCATAAATGTATGATATGGTTTCTACTATGTAATCTGAATTGCCATTGTCCTTATTTTGGCAAGCTTAGTTTGACTGTATCAAACGTTTCCTTTCTAGCATCTGCGCCATCAGTTGTGTGGCTGGGCTTTGTATATCTAAGGCAATTTGCATTTGTGCTTTTGGACAGAGCAACTGATACGTATGTGTGTATAAATTATAATGATATCTCACGTATTTACGTTTCTAAAGGTCTTGGAAGAACGCTGAGTAAACTGCTACCTTAATGTTTACTCTCTACACCATTTTGTGCATCTGCCAACAACCACGAAAATTTTCTGTCTAATCCCTCTCATTTAATCAACCCCCCACCCTTTCCCTCTCGGAACTTTCCATAAAACGAGTAAAAATTTGCAAGTTGAATTCTTCGTTCAAAGCAAGCCATATACAGAAAAGTGAAATCGAAGATTGTATTCTTTGCTGAAGATATGAGTAAGATTATATCTTTTATAAAATGAATGGTGTAGATTAACTTCAACGTGAATAAACAGTTGAACACCCTGTTAGGAATTTGTGGTTGAGCCATTATAAAATGACTGGTTAAAATGACTATGGACAGGTGCTGGATACGAGTGCCTCAAGTTATTAGACTCTGGAGAGCACGGTGCCTGTGCATTGTGCCATGAACAGTAATTCGTACATATTTACATAATTTTTATTATTTAATCATATATGATTTTATCTTATTTATAATATTTATATTTTCCTAGCGGAATTCAGAATATGAATAATGACAGAAATTTATTAGTTTTGTTTATTTTAGAGTAAAAGACTGTAAATATATATTTATTTAAAGGATTTTTTTATTAAAAAAAATTTAATATAGCGACAAAATAATGACATTAACCGATATCATGTTCATGCAGTGACGTGAATAGCATTATTCTGACGACGGGTGTTGTGTTGTTTACGCTTGAATCAGCCCATCACAGGAAATTTGTACTTGTACTTCTTCTTCTTTCCCGTCAAACTCAAAGTATCAAATTACCATCAAGTTTATGCGTGGTCTATTTTTAATATTTTTGTGTAAATTTTTTTGAGAAATACTACTCTCATTTTACATGAGATAATTATTTCGTTTTCTCTCACTTCAAAAATCACACCCGTTCTTTTTTCTTTTTAATGGTGAGCTCCACTTAAACTCTCTTTATAACATGAGAGAACTATTTCCATGTAACATAAGAGTAATATTCTCCAAAAACTTTTACCTTTATTGAAAGCATTACTGATGATTATGATATCTCATCATTTGGCAGTTGAAAGTGTGATGATATGTCCCTCCGGGAGGGAGTGCCTCTCTAGAAGAAAAAAAAAAAAAGTTTCCTGAAGTTGTGTTGTGCTTAACCTTTTCCCTCGCCACACAAAACATTATTTTCCCTCAAGCTTTCACTGTATTGTTCTTTTTGTCGTATGTGATTACAAAAGTCTCGTGCCCGAATTCATGTATTGTTGATATATCCTAATGCAGATACTAAAGCTGACGCTGACGTGGATGCCAAAGCTAATGTGGAGTAAAGAAGCTCAGCTGTTAGATTTGTTGTTATAATTTGTAACTACTTTTGGCGCTCAAAGTTTGTTAGTAGTTAGAATTTGTTATTCTTTCCTTCAGCTTTCCACTGTCATATATAAGGTGGAAATGCTTTGATGTAAACTCAGATTTTGCAATACAATGAATTTCAAGAAAACTAAGATGGTATCAGAGCTCTAATGCTCTGGGCCATCTACCACGTTCCGCAATATTCTCTAGTTTCTTGTTCATCTTCCTTCTTCTTCTTCGATCAATTTCTTCCTTTTGATTTTGCTGTCAACCATGGCAGAACAGAACCAGAACCAGTTATCATCAGATCCATACTATCTTCATCCCAATGAATCACCATCTTTGATTCTTGTTTCTCCATTGATGAATGGAAAGAACTACCATGCCTGGTCAAGAGCCATGAAAGTGGCATTGATCTCGAAAAACAAACTCGTGTTCGTTAATGGCACGATTACTGCTCCTGCAGAAGACGCTGCGATCTTTCCTGCCTGGGAAAGGTGCAACACAATGGTTCTCTCCTGGCTCCACAAGTCCATTGCTGAGTCCGTTGTGCAATCCATCCTCTGGATTGATAAAGCATATGATGTATGGAACGATCTGAGGGATCGTTTTTCCCAATCTGACACCTTTCGTATTGCAGACTTGCAAGAAGATCTTTTCCACACTAACCAAGGTGATAAATCAGTCTCTGACTATTTTACAATTCTGAAAGGACTTTGGGATGAATTTGGTAACCTCAGGCCATTTCCACCATGCACATGTGGAACTTTGGCTCAAACACGAGAACACAGGGAAACAGATCAAGTCATAAGGTTTTTAAGAGGTCTCAATGAAAATTTTGCACAAGTCCGTTCACAAATTATGCTTATGTCTCCACTTCCAAGCATAAACAGAGCATTTTCTCTCGTTCAACAACAAGAGAGGCAATTGCGAGCAGATACACAAGAGACAAAGGTTTTTGCTAGCTCATCAGAAGGTCCACGTGGTCATGCTTTTTCATATAGAGGAAGAGGAGGGAGATTCACTGGTGGACGAGGCTCCAATACCAGTAACAAATACTGCACCAATTGCAAAAAGACAAATCACACGATAGATACATGCTATTTCAAGCATGGCTTTCCTCAAGGTTACAGATCAAAGAATTTTCAAAGTTCAAGCAATGCCACTCAAACTGACCACAACACAGACACTGTAATTGGAGATCATAATGCAGCAACTCCACAAGTGTCCATTTCACAGGAGAAATATGAAGAATTTATGGCATATATGCAGCACAACAATTCCATTCATTCGACCAATATGGCACATACAGTCCAACTCAATGAGAACCTTCCTATGACAGGTAAATTTTCAATACAATGGCTCTTAGATACAGGAGCCACAGACCACATATCTCATATGCGATCCATGTTTAAATCCATACGCAAGATCACACCAGTTTCTGTTTTCTTGCCTGATGGATCTTCTGTCATTACTTCACATGCTTGTATTGTGGATATCTCATGTATTACAACGGCGATTACAAAGTTTAAGAGAGAAGGAGTCATTCTTGTGATAAAGCATATATGTTATAAGTTTATGCAAAAATTTACAACATTATATATTTAGGAATTGTGTATCAAAAAGACTATTATATATTTAAAATTAAACCTTTCAATCTATTAAGCGGGCATTTTTATCACACAATAACTATAAATAACCAAACCCGAAATAAATTACAATTTCAAAACCAAAGAGCACCGAACCAAAACAAAAAACCCAAAAAACTGAACTGAAGAGAATTATGAAATAAGCTACATCCTTTTTTACATTGATTATCGTTTAAAATTTGTATGAAGATTAAAAAATTATCAAATACATTTTAGTTTTAAGAAAATATAATTACCCATGACTAAATTACCATTTCACTATGTTAATGCTTTCTTTTATTTTATTAGTGGAGATATCAAGTGATAAAAATGAAATTGAAAAAAATATAATATCCTCTTGTTATTTTCAAATAATATTAATTGGACACAAAATTTTAAAATCAGAATTATTTTGAAATGAATGAAATGCATTCTTATAATTCTATATATGTTGCTACATATATTATAATGAAAAGGGGGTTAAAGCACATATCACGCATTATATAATTCAAATTTTCTTTGTAAGATAAAATTTAGTCACTAATGCACCAAGCACTTAGGGCCATTTGCCGAATATGATAGAAAGGATTTTATAGATAAGTTATCGTATCTTATTTTTATCCATTGTTTAATGAGCTAAAAGCATATGAAAAACTTAGCGTTATAAATTCTCCTAAAGGAAGACTTGAGTTTTGCTCACCTCCTTTAAGCTTCAATGGGAACATCAGAGTTATCTCTTCTTCTTTTTTGGAAATTGTTCCAAGAATATATATCTCCTAGCCGATAACCAATGACTAATTCTCTCGAGACGAAAAGATCATGTGATCATAGATATAGCTTTTCCCAACAAAACATTTTCTATACACATGACCAGGAATCGAACCCCTGTCAACGTGCTTACTAACTGTATTGGGCTTTGTTGGTCATTAGAGTAATCTCTAGCACCACCCACCATTGTCATTGAATGCTAGAAAAAAAATTCATTAACTTTTATCCAGTAATAAATCTCTAACGCTATACAAATATTGCATAAAATGTGTTCGGCATGATTAATAATTATTTCTATCCATAAAATAAATTATCTTGAGTTATAATCCAAATTGAATTATTTTGTGTTGCATGTGAATGTGAATTATTATTTTTGTATTAATGTTATTCAAATTGTTTTTCACGTTTTACATACATAAATATGAACAATAAATTTAACTTTATTTTGAATAATTTTATAACTTAATTTATGTATTTTAATATATCATATTTAATATTGTGAATTTTAGAAGAAGAAAAATTAAGTTTAAAATAGGAAATTAATATATATATATATATATATATATATATATATATATATTAGCAAAAAAATGTTCAAAGATCAATTTTTAAAAAATTATATGAAATTATTTTATAATGCTTATTAAATGCGCAGTAAGTAAAAGATAGGATATACATTTATCAGGCTATACTATTTTTGACTCTTTTATTATATTAATATATATGTCCTTACGATATCATGTCCAACAAATAAGTTTTTATATTTTTTAAAATAAAATATTTTTTATTTTAATTTGGTTTGGTAGTCATTCATATTCGAGTTTCACATTTTTTTGTATAATCCCTCAAAATTAAAAGAATTTTGAGAAAACTCGAATCAGAATGAGTATCAAACCAAATTAAAATAAATAACAAAAATGCTATTTTTCAACCGAAAAAATATGTTGAAAATAAAGTTTTCGACGAAATTATCAATGAAAATGAAGTCATCGAATATCTCTTCGTGGATAACAATTTTTTCGATGGAAATAATTTTCGTTGAAAATTTTCAATGGAAAAATTTCCGTGGAAAGTTTCGAAGGAAAACAAATTTAGTCTAAAATTTTCGACAAAAAAAGAATGAAATTCAGTTTAAAAATCTTGTAATAATTTTCAACGAAAAATGAATGAAATTCCGTCAAAAAATCTTGTAATAATTTTTATAGAAACCAAATTCCATCGAAAATTTT